CTACCAAGATCGTCAAAGAAGCAGCATTCACTGGTGCTTGGGCGAAATTGAGCTTTGGGACTTGAGACATTGCATTGCCCTCCCTGATCGACAAACAAGGAGCGTGTGGTTCCTCGCCATTGAGCGGAGGTTTGCCCTTGGCTACGGAGAGGAAAGCGGCCAGACTCTTTGAACGTGTTGTACCGTTCTCCCCGAATATCTTGGAATATTGGTCTGCATGTTCCTTGACCGCCAGCTCCCCGGAATTCGACCTTTTGGGGAGTCTGTGGAGCCCTTGCCAACTCGAGCTGCGGATCTCTGGTCTTTTAAACCCTCCATCATGGCGGCATCTGGGTCACACAACCCATATTCACGATCGCCAAACCTGTCCACAAGGTCATACGACTCCTCCTCAGTTTCGTCCGCCACCTCGCCAAAGCCACCATCCCAATACTTGGGAGGATTGATGAGCACAAGTGTGAGGTCGAACGTGGCTCCTCCGCCACAACCCATAGGCATTCCTCCCTTGCCTTCGCTTCACCAGTCGTCCTCCTTCCAGCCGTACACGCCAGTCACCGCCGGCTCTGTCATGGGACGAGATTCGCTGCCTTCGAATGAGTCAGTTGCCAGCACACCAGGGCCATCCAATGCGCAGCTACCATCGTCGAGTGCGCAAAAGCGAGCATATCGGCAGAGGAGAAAAGATCCTAGTTGCGATGCTTGTCGCGAAAGGAAGGTGAAGTGTGACGCCACGGAGACGACAAGCTGTTCTGAGTGCTCTAGTCGAAATGTCAAGTGCCAGTTTACCAAGGAGACTAATCGGCGAATGTCATCCATCAAGCAAGTACAGGACCTCGAGAAGCAGATTGAACGTGTACGTCGGGAGAACAGCAGTCTTAGGCGTATGCTGAGCGAGAAGGATGGCGCGATGGATCTGGAAATCGAAGGCATCGAGCAGTTGCCACTGCAGTTGCCGGCTATAGGGTCAGATCCCAAGAGGAGGAAGCGGCCAGCACCGATGCACGATTTTGCTAGAGCAAGGTCAAACCTGCGTAGCTTCTCGAAAGGTATCTGGAAGCCGCCGGCTCAGTATCGACAGCCACTGGCGCCATCTCTGTCCGAGCTTCCGAAACCTGAACTGCCTCCCAAGCAAACAACTGACCAGCTTCTCCATTCCTACTACGCCTCTTCGCACAGCATGTTTCCTATCCTACATTGGCCAACACTCCAACAGGGAGTTGACGAGATCTACAAGCCCGGCGGTCTACAAAATGTGCAACCTGCCTTTCTGTCCATGTTCTTTGCGGTTTTGGCTGTTGGCAGCCTATTCACTACCGATCCTCACCGATCTTATTTGGCTGCCGAGCTTGCTGAAGCCTCTAGAAAGTTAATCGATCCATGGAATAACGATTATGTGCTAGATGATGTGCGAACACTCATCCTCATCACGATCTTTCTCAATGAGATGAATCTAAAGTCTGCGGCTTGGAGTTGGTTGGGAACTGCTGTTCAAGTTGCCCAGGACATTGGCCTGTACTCTGAGTCTGGTCCATGGCCGGTGATAGAAGGAGAAATGCGACGTAGGGTGTGGTGGACCATTTACATATTGGATCGAAGCCTAGCAGTCGAACTTGGGCGACCAGTGCTCATAGACGATTCTGACTGTGATGTTTCGCTGCCAGCCGGCGTGGATGACCACTACATTCATGATGGTGGCATGCTCGTACCCAACGGCGCCGAACCACTGACTCATTCTCTCCTTGCAGTAATCCATGTTGTTCGATCGTATACTGCTCTCAACAAGGCACTGTCTTCTCCGGTCATTGCACCTACTCGTCTGGCAACATTTGACTCGCACTTTGTGGCTTGTCTACGCACGTTTCCACCAGCTTGCGATCCATCCAGCCAAGTATCATTATCGCCGCATCTTCTAAACCCCCTGATTTACCTTCTACACGCTAGACTCCTCCTTCACCGGCACAACCTCACGCCATCTTGTCCCGACGATGTTCGAATCATTGCAATCGAGCAATGCACACATACCGCGCTCGAAACAGCTTCGTTGCTTGCGAGAACGAACTCGACTTTACCAGAAGGCGCCACGGCGTTGCTAATCACACACGTCTTCCGCTGCACATTATTCCTGCTTCTGACGGGATACTTCGATGCAGCAACGACGTGCATCCGTGCCTTGGCCGCTATCAATGGGCGACGAGACGTTACAACGCCGTGTGGACGGTTTTTTGCCTTCTTTGTCAGCACATTGGCATCCAAGAGAGCAGAGCATGCGGCGTATTTAGCACGCACTACGCCCCCAGGACAACCGCCTTTCGCACCACCCCCGAGACCAATACCAGGTCCGCTGGAGGCTGCATTGCTTCGAGACGAAGAGCTTTTAGTGTATGTCAGTGCAGACCTACAGGCTGGGCCCGATGCAGCGTGGGTGTGGGCTGGAGGGGAGAGAGAGGTTCTTGCTGGACAGGTCCCTAGCCCAGGATTGGCCAGGAGTGGGCCTAGTGGTGCTGGAGGCTCGCCGAGTGCAAGCAGCCTGCTGAGTCTTGAGGCTCGCACCGGGCTGACAGAGGACGAGAGCCGAGACTGGGGTGGTTGGGAGCGTGTTGATAGCCTTGTCCGAGGATTAGCTTCCGGTACCTCGACACCGACGGCACAAAATTGGGGGCCACCGATCCTCCCACCGGTCAAGATAGAACCGGGAGCAAGCTCTGCCGCGGGTTCGATTGCTGGTGAGGGCAGCAGCACTAATAGCCCTACAGCAGCAGGCAAGACCAAGAGCCAAGAGAGAATCAGTATCGCCAATATCATTTGAGTGATAGGTGCCAGGAGCCCAGGCTCATATCTGAGCCCTCGATTTGATAATATGGCAACATATCTAATCTTTTAGCAATCTCGAAGGCGGATGCTGATAACGCTTGAGGCGAGATGGCTTACGAGTGCGTCGTTATCGAAATAAACGAATGATATTATACGATTCGCACGACAAGATTACTTCTAATACGATAATGACGACTGTCAAGAAGATTTATTGACATCCTGCAGTCTCGATCACTTGGAGGCATGACCCTCAACACAAACTACAAACTTCGACCTTTTTTTCCTATGTGCGAAACTTGCTCCAAACCGAAGCCGTCTTATATCTTGATTTACTATCTATTACGCTAGGATTTTTCTTATTCACGAAGGGATCGATTTTCTGAACGTCACGACATTCCATGGACGGCTTGTACGATTACGAAATATCCTATCTACTTCAATTGTTTAGTTGGCTATTGTCTATTTCCACCTATCGACGCCACGCGTTCAAGCGAGATCTCATTACCACACTGTCATTTTCGGCTGGTCATAAAACTCGGATAGGCATTTTGTTGCGCCTTTGCAAAATTTTAGTGCTTGGGGAGATACCAGAGTCATTCTACAGCGGGAGGGGCTATACAGTATTATTTATTTTCAATAGCGGAGGGTCGATGAAGATGAAAGAGGGGGTCTTGATATATGTGTTGTTATCATTGTATCCTTGCCGGAGTACTAGCTCCAGATGGGCAAATTTAGGGGAGAGGCGGTGTGGTCTGAGCCAAAATTCAAAGCGATATGCCTGGGAGGCTTACTCGAGTCTTTGCTTTGGGTCGTCGAGTTCTGGACAGGAGGCTATGAGAGTTATGGGACCGTTTGTACACCCATGGTCTGCCTATGGCGCGGTATCTACATCAAACGGTCGCGTTTTGCGAAGACGCAAAAGCATAGGGGGCGAATATCAAGGATGAAGGGGTACGGCTTAGGGGGGGGCAGGGTTCTTGATTACCGTTGTATATGACAACCTACCAATCACCAAACAACCGATCCGATCGTACATACTACTGCAACTACTTACTGCTCACTACAATTCTCACTTGGCCCGGACTTGCTACAAACCCGCGCATCCACGACTACTTACCAATTTCTGCTCTAAGACAGAAAGTCGGAGCCGGAAACTAGAAAAAATATGACATGTTATAAAAACTTCTAAATCACTATACTCGTCTCCCGTGTGCTCCCCGTGGAGAAGACAATCGACGTGGGAAAACTGTGTTACACGGCTGGCAGTTGTCATCAATAAAGCCCCCTTTCCCGTTTCCCGGCCGAAGGAAGCCTCTAGAAAACTCGCGGAACACCCTCTCGTGCAACCAACGCTGAACGATTTGTCCCGCCATACTCACTGCGTAACACGTGTGCAACGTGCTTATGTGTGCGATAGTCCTGCGATTCGACGGGGGGCCCGCGCCTTCGGGAGTTGCCAGTCCGGCTTCGGGCTCACTAGACAACTGCCACGAGTCGGCTATGTCGAGATACCGAGACGGCGAAACGGAATAGCGGTGGGGTGAATCTTTATTCTGCGGGCGAGCGAGATCTCGGGCAAGGATTGTGTAACGACGCTATGGCTATACTTACTTTTTTAAGACAATGAGCAATATTGCGAACTGCTAGCGGTAAGCATATTGCCGACTTTCCAGGTTATCAAGGCCGATCACCACCTCAGAAGTAACGAATAGAGCTTTGCCCATTGGTAGAATCCCAAGGAGGCTATACTAAGGGGATCGCAGCTTAAATGATTCAAAATATTCGAAGCATGACACTTACTAGACCCACCCTTCAACGTGTCGAAAATTGTGGTGCGTTTTACTGAACTTATCACCAATGATTCAAATAAGTTTTGACATGATCATATATTCATCTCTATGTCCGTTGTCTGCAATGCCACTTCTTATTGACCAATGATTGCCGGTAAACTTGCGAGCCAATGCTCATTCCATACAAAACCTTGCGTCAGTATTTACCTGATTTGCATAAGCCAGACGAGCCAAACAACAGTTCCCAGACCTATGGTGTGCATTCAGGACTCCGCCAGGGAAACCTCGAGAGACCCAGCATCTTCGTTTGCGTAAAAGTCGCCTCGTCACACGACCCGAACCACCAACTCCAGTTTTTTCGTATCCTTGGGCACGAGTGCCTTGGCCATCGGAAGCAGCTTAGCAGATGGCATGGGTCTTGCCGGTTTTTCCCTGAATGGAATGTTTCTCCTTCTGCAGCAATTCAAAGTAATCCACAGGTTAGCACAATCTGGACCCTTGAGATACAAAACAAGGATAGGGGAGGGGTCAAAGAAACTATAGGGCGAGACTTTTTGTTACTAACTTTGTACTTAGGGTGGTTGTGCGTGGCTTTGCCGGAAGCGGTGTGGTGCTTGTGGATAAACTCCTGCTGCTTCTTGATGCTCTCCCTGTCCATGTCATCGAGGAGGCACATGCTCTGCCTGATATCAGAGATCAGTGCGTCACATCGAGGGCGAGTGAAGTCCTCGCGGACAACAACTCGAAGCATCTTCAGGTCGTTGGTGTGTGGAGCCATCGTGTAAGCCGGGACGACCCAGCCTCGAACGCGTAGTTGATGAGCAAGGGCGAACTCGTCATAGTTGCGGTCCTCATCCTTCGTCATTCGAAATGCAACAAGCGGAAGACCTTCGCCGGACTTCTTGGACATGATGATGAAGCCAAGTGCTTCAAGAGAATCAGATAGGTAGTCCGCGGTACGGGTCAGGTTTGACATGATGGCTTTGTAGCCATGCTTGCCCAAGCGGATGAGCTGATAGTATTGACCAATGACCTGGGAGGCACCCTTGCTAAAGTTAAGCGTGAAGGAGGCCTGGTCAGCACCCAGGTAGTTGATGTTGAACACTAGCTCCTGCGGAAGAAATTCGGCGGACCGCCAAACGACCCAGCCGACACCGGGATAGACGAGGCCGTACTGTGTTGCACGATGTCAGTCAAATGTTTCACGTGGATTGTATGTGATCTTGTATGCACCTTATGTCCCGAGACATTGATGGAGACAACTCTCTCGCAACGGAAATCCCACTCTAGACCGGGGACAACGAACGGAGCGACAAAGCCGCCGCTGGCTGCATCAACATGGATAGGGACGTTCAGTCCCTTCTTTACGAGGAGATCATTTACTGCCTTGACGTCCTCGTATTCACCCGTGTACGTGGTACCTATAAAGTAAGCATGCTAGATGACAAGGGTCACAATTTACGTACCTAGGATGCAGCAGATGCCGATTGTGTTCTCATCAACCAAGTTTACAGTCTCCTCTGGATCGATAACATAACGGCCCTCGGTGCAATACACAAGCTTCTCTTCGATCTCGAAATATCGAGTTGCCTTCTCCCAGCAGACCTGTACAGCTGATGACATGACAATGTTAGGATTCTCAGTCGACTTCCCAGCAGCTTTTCTCGCGTTCTTCCAGCGTCTCTTCATGGCAAGAACCGCGAGCATGATAGCTTCGGAGCTACCAACACAGCTGGTACCGACGGCACCGACTCCCTCTTCTGCACCGACGGGGGCATGGAACAGGCGGCCAATCATGGACACACATCTGTTCTGGATATCGGCAGACTGCGGGTACTCCTCGTAATCGATAAAGTTCTTGGAGAAGGACTCGGTCATGAGCTTCTCAGCTTCATCTTCCTGCATGACGTCAGCTTGCCCCTTACTGTATGCAAACGTCCGGTCGATGCCTGGAATATTGCACACGAAAACGGCTGGGTGCACCTACCATGTAAGTCGTGACGAACGAAGCAAGGCTAGAAAAGTCCCGTGTTAGCCTGCATTATATAATCCAAGTGCCCGAGACATACTTGAGCATCGGATTTCCATCCAGGCTGAGCTCATCCTTGATCACTACAGCATTTGAAGTCAGCAACTTCCATAACAATACATGAGAAGCAACAGGTCGTTTCGTTAGGGACACTTTCAAGTGATCTCTCAGTCAGGGGTAATGTGTCCGTCCTAAAGACTCAAACGTGCCTGTAGCAGGCGAATATGAGCTCCAAAATAGCTTACTTCGATAAGCCACCTCTTTCGGCATCTCACGCTCTGGCATCTCGTGTTTCGGTAGGTCGGTAGCGGCGAACCTGGAGCCGTAGACAGAAGTGGTGAAGCAATCATCATCATTTGCAAGCTGGAGATGGGCCTTCTTGATCTCCTTGATGATGTCCTTGTCCAGCTCATCCGGATGAGGAATGGTAGTCAGATGCACCATTGTGACGGATTATGTAGACAATGTACGAGGAAGACTGTGCAAGTAATGACACAAATGCTTAGGAATTCGTGCTCGTGCGGGTGAGTGTTATGGCTCAAGCAGCGTTCTGTTTCTGCAGCTTTATACCAACGACGGTGGCTCTGAATAAACAAAAGAGGTCAGCATGAGAGATGTTGAGAGGTGGGAGAATGCGAGAGCTCTGATGTTATGGTGGGCTGATTGTCAAGCTTCCGATGGGCAGTAATCTCGGAAAAGAGGCAAGAGGGGACTTGCCTGGAGTATCGCTACCTGGACGAAGCTTGAGAAGACAAGACAGGGACGAAGAAGAAGAAGAGGAGGAAAGGGGAAGGAGACGAGGGCGAAGCTCGAGAGGAGGGAATTCGGGGGGGATTCTCCAAAAGACTGCGTGCGCAGCTTGTCCCTGACTGACGTCGATGCACTACGTGCAGCTGCCGGACTGGTTGGTGCCCGCGCTGGGAGCCCTCCTCTAGCGCGGGTTCCCAGGGGCGTTGTAAAGGAGGGGCAGCTCCTGCTCAGCTGGGAGTTGGGGTGCAGTTTCGAAATCAAACAGTGGATGTTTAGTGGACAGCCCAGTCCACAAACGTCGACACCAGTGGCTCACTGGCCCACGGTTACAGTGCCGTTCTAAACTTCTAGCCCGCTTCTGGCATGGCTTGGCCAGAAAGCTTGGCGCGGATCGCATGGAGAGGACAGGGATCTCTCTTCACTAAGCTCCGGGTACGAGTGCATTGAGAGTGATGGGTGGCATGCAAGCATCACCACTTTGTGGTCTCCCAGTAGCATCAAATCGCTAGTGCCGCCTCACCGACTCTCCCAAAAGGGCCGCCAATCAGCTGGATATTATCTCTGGATGGGCCTGAAATAGCAGGCTTATTGGAGATGTTACCTCACCTGAGAAGTAGCTATAAGGGAAAGTCTCTATAGTTGGGGGTCAGCAACGCCCAAAGCATCCCACCTTCCTCGCGTCCATTTCACGATGCCTTGGAAGGTGCGACTGAGATGTCTTCCCACGATGACGTCGACTCTCGTTTTGCATTCACAAGGAAGGTGCTCCCCAATTTGTTTGCCGTCCACTTCACTTCACCTCACCGTCGAACAACGTTCCTTCTGCTTCTTTGTCCTCTATATGCTGCAACTTAACGAGTGCCTTCGTTTCTGTGGCAATTGGATTACGGGACGGCATATGCAGATCAAGTCGAATGGGACCACACTGACACCCAGCCAAACTGAAGAGCCACTTGCTCTTTTCCTCTCCAATGATAACTCGACCAGTGTCAATCGATCCTCTTCCAAACACAAACCCACCCGTGGACCTGCTTTCCTCTTCTCGTCATTTCCTGTTTCAAGATCGCACCCGCCGAATGTGGCTGAGCAAAACCGGTGTGCTTCTCAGCATGTCATTGCATTCTGGTTCACGGGTCTCCTTTCCCCCATATCCTGCAGCATATCCGCATCATCCATCGCTAACCCCACACAGCGCATTTCAAGTTCCTGTGTTATGTGTCAACTTTCAAAGGAACACTAGTCGACCTAGGTAGTGTCCGTTATACTGATATGGGCGGCAACATCATTCGGGTTCAATCTTGGTTTGTGATTTAGTCACGTAACAATTTAATGCTTCCATTACTTGCTTCGATGCTGTACTATAGCCTTGTAAGGTTTGTTGTATCACCGTCACAACCGTTATCGACTGAACGGTCCCGTCTCGAATCCACCGTCACCTTTTTCGCCGTCATCTAGCCCTCGATCATTGAAGAGACATGCGGTCAGCAATGAGGAAACGTCGATACCCACGCCCAGTCGCCTATGCATGTCATTGGGTCCCGGAAACCGCATCCGCCCAAAATGCTGATCCTCATGCAGCCCTCACCGATCAGACCGTAATTCCCGCATTTCGGGCAGACTTGGCAATGCGGGTGGCCCCTAGATGCTACGGCGACGCTAAGATCGCAGTCCCAGCGAGGGCCCGCTAACGCAATTGCAGAGCCACAATGCAAGCTGCGTGTCTGCTTTTTGGAGTCTCTTCCAATTGCGAGCCGTCATGTTAGCCAATCTTCTCACCACCTCACGTGAGGTTGAATTGCCTGTGCAACTCTTGTTCAGTCCTTGCCACTGCTTTTCGACACCTCATAGAACTTTAAAATTTACGGTGAGAAATGATGGATTTCGGCCCGTTCAGACCCCCGTACAGCCTCATTTCGTTGTGGTTCTACCCCTTTCTCGGTGGGGAGATCGTGAATGGGGGTCACTCAAGTCCCTGATGTTCCTAGACCTTGCGGTTCGTACTCTACATGGTCAACAGGAAGTCGCCTTCCTCTGTATGCCTGAGGACTCGGACCACAGTTGTCTGAAAGAGTCTCGAACCTAGGGCCCTCCTCAACTGCTCCGGAGAAACTGCAGGACCGCGTCCTGGTCAGGGCGTTCCTTGCGTTCTCGCTGAAGCTCTTCTCTCACCTCTATAATGGTCAAAAGGCATGATGATCTTAGTAAAGAGGCTCCAAACAATTCAAAAGTCATCATAAAGGCTCTACATGGTGTGTACAATTTCGATACGACCGGAATCGCCAGATGGTTCGCCAATTGGTGTAGGGAAACACGCCTCCAATGGCCTGAGGGACGACTATTCGTGAATGACACCTCCGATACCGGGCACCACGGCCTGACTTCTATGACTTATAAAATGTCTCTAGTCCTCTGTGCTTCAATCCAGGTCTCAATTAGCATCTCACTACTTGCTATAGTATACTGGTCGCTATGGACGAAACCACATTGAGAGAATGGGTACTCAAACACAAGAGTGTATACGGTCCCGACTGATCTTCTGAAGGCTTGGTATAACATTGGACGTTACGGCCATTACTTTTGCACAAGGATATGGTGTCGTCGGCGCTTGGAACCTCCGTCATGGTCGCAACGAAAGGCGTGAAGAGACAGGCAGCTTCAGCCCTGCATGAAGCATGCTCATGAGTCCAAACAACATTGCTAGACGCTCAAGAGAAGCCAAAACTGAAGACCACGTTGAACGTTTCAGTCACTCGTCTTGAGAACTTCAAGGACCCATAGATCTTTGTCTTATCAGCAAAGGTACATATATCATTAGAGCTAATGAAGGACATCAATATCTAGGGAGCTGTGAGTTCTAGGTCCTGAAAGATGTCGGTATCGAAACTCCAAACGGTATAGTTGTCCTCTCCAACGAATATAAGGAAATCATCGTCTCCACATATCCCGCGACATGTCCCAGGCTGTGTCAGCTCCTCGGCCTCGGCCTCATCGATCATGTATCCATTTTCAGCGCCACGGGGTCCCCGCAAAGCCATGCGGTCACCTATTGGGAACAACGGTTGACGTTGCATAATGGCCGGTATGAGATGCATGTGTTGAAAGGAGATGCGTCTTCCGCGCACCGGATCCAACCCATAGTCTACATTGGCCGATTTCAGATGTAACACCCCGCCTGGCAGACGATACAACCCTCGGAGATTCTGCGCGGGTGGGGACAGAGTGATCAGGGGAAGTCGATAACCAAGGTCCCACATGTTCGACAAGGAAAATGTCGTCTGAGTGCGCCAGCAGTGAGAGCGCACGCCCCGCCTTAGGTCACGACGGTTGGAGGCATGCTCTGATTTCAGCGGAATGATTTGTGACAGGATAGAGAATTTTCTCTTGATAGTATTGAAAGTCACTGAAAGCGATAGTGGAACTTTGTTTGCGGTGGTCTCTGTCAAAGTCGCAAGCATGAACGAGCCATGAGAATCGATACGATAGCAGTCAAGCAGGGAGAAGACGCCGAGGAACGGTTGGCTCTGCGATGCAGTTTGGTGCATAGGGAGCTGGACTTTATAGGTGCGACTGTATTTGTTCTTGATATACTCATGAACAGCGACAAAGCCGACCAATGCGCCAGACATCGGGTTCATCGTGACGACGAAGTAGACTTCTGGCTCAGAAGGATGAAGTATTACGTCTAGGTGAGCTCGTGTAAGGATGATAGCTCTGCTGGATTCGGGGTAGTTGCTGTATAATGGGAATTTGTGAGGCTGAGCCAGACTTGCAAAAATGGCTCTTGGCTTGGTCATGTCGACTTCAAGAACACGTCCGTGGGACTTCCAAATGAAGACGGCCCCGTCATCTGTGACAAATGAGACATATTCGCCCTCACTTTTACATGTGTATATACGCGAAGGAAGAGCGACAGCTTGATACTCATTCGTCTCGATATGCCACACATGCCTAAGACAAGATTCAGTTGATACTCAAGAGCTGCTTCGATCATCGTGTGACTTACGCGACTCGGGAGTCAATTCCGACGACTAGCTTGTTCCCTAGGGCCCTCAGTGAGATCGATAAGGCTTGCATCAAAGTGCCTTGGACCTTGTACATTTTGCGTGTCATGGTCCGGAAATCATCGAGAATGATGACTCCATTATCTGGTGGCGGTCGGGTTGACGGACTCCAAGCGAGCTTCCCATCTCTATAGAAAGAGATAACTCCACCGAGGCCGCGGTCTGATGGCGTTGTCACCAAAATGTCGTTATATCCGTTAGAAGAGTGAAATTTTTCATCTAGCTTGAAGTAGGTGTCGTCTTCAAGCCGGAATCCATGAAAGAAAATGGAGCGGAATCTTCCTTTTGATCGACGAGAATCCCTTTGCAGAATTTGTAGGAATACGGCTTTCCGACGCTCGTAGGCTTCCAAATTGTCGCCCATGTCATCAAGCTGCAATAATCCGGGATACCATTTATCCACGATATGGTTCATGAGCTTGTCCTGGAGCCAGATGTGTCTCCAGGTTCGCGAGACGTTGGTGTAGCTGAATACATCGCCAGAACTAACATGATCAGCCACGCATAGCTGTAGTTCTATTGGAAGGCGGGCGATAATATCAGTTTGGAAGTGCATTTCTATGAGTTTTGATCGCAAAACTCGCAGCTCGCTGACAGTGAGAGAAGATACTAGGTTCAGGAGGTTCGGCGTGCGCAAATTCGGCTCCAATTCATCTAACTTCTGGGACAATGTATCTGCCATAGTTGCTCGAGACTCTTTTCGCTAATTGTTTTGTACGGCCGGGTTAGAGTTATTCGTTGGTTTGATATGATATCAGGTTGCTTGATTAGGCGGAGACCTCGCCAGGACAGGCCGCTTCTCAGCCCAGTAGGATGCTTAGTATAGGACTTCAGTCACAGCCGTACACTTCAAGTGATAATGCACAGACTCGTACGCCAGCAAAGGGTGCTTTTTACTGGCGTCAAGTCTCCATTCAGCTCTTGGGTGTTCGGCCGGCTAAACTGCAATAATATTCACAGGTGTAAGTCGGGTAGACAGGCCGAGTTCGTTGGCGGTAGTGATGGATCAACCTGGATCCACACTTCCGTCTCAGGCAGGTGGGCGGGCACGGACAGCTGGCAAGCTCCATGTCGACGGTAAGCCTTACTCCTCCGATAGCGCCGTCAGCATGTCTGTCATCCATCCATCGCATGGAATCCTGTAACATTACAATATTACGACCACTGTATCAGGGCGTTCGCTCTCCATCTTCCTTTTCCCTTGTACATACAACGACAATCCGCGCTATAGATCTATCGGCTCTGTGACGATGTGCCCTGGATTATCCTGAAAACCCCGCAGTCCGTCCTCGCAGCTCCGTGCTTTGCTCTATAGCTCTTGTCTAACCACCGAAGCTCGCCGAAGCTATGGCTGGCATATCGACGTCGGACAACGACGCATCCACTCCTTTGCTGCAGTCCGACACAGCATCGACCCTCGGCCCCGCCTCGTCCAACTCGTCCATCCGCCACTCATCGCCGAGCCCAGAGAGGCGGCGACGGCTGCGAGTCGCTGCTGTGACCCGCGGCATCTCCTTCGTGTCTGCCGTTATCGCCGCCCTCTGCTCGAACTCCGTCGCCGTGTTCTCGCTGTACGGCCACATCTTCCAGGAGCGGCTCCATTACACACAGTATCAGGTCAATGGCGTTGCCATCGCTGCGTCGTTCGCGCTTTACCTGCCTGTCCCGTTCCTCGGCTATGTCTGCGATCGCACAGGGCCGCGGCCGCTGTCGCTGATGGCAGCGGTCTTCTTCGGGGCTGGGTATGCCTTGGCGGCTACACTGTACAAGAGGGCCGCAACGGAGCCGAGCGCTAGCAGCGGGGCTGGATCGACGAACTGGTCGTACCTCTTGATGGTTGTCGCCTTTCTGTTGATAGGAACGGGAACATCCTGCCTCTACATGGCTGCTATTGCAACATGCGCGAAGAACTTCGGCAAGGGAAAGCATCGCGGGCTGGCTCTCGCAGTCCCTATTGCGGCTTGCGGGCTCAGCGGGATGTGGCTGAGCCAGTTCGGCAGCCGAGTGCTGTACGAGAGGCTGCCAGATGGAACCAAGGGCGACGTAGATGTCTTCCACTTCTTCCTATTTCTAGCCATCCTGCTGGTAGTTGTTGGAATTATCGGGACATTCACCCTGCGTGTTGTCAATGAGCAGGACCTCATTGATGAAGCAGTCGAGGAATTAGAAAGAAGCGGTCTGTTGGATGGCAGTGCCTTATTCACTCCGGGGAGGAACTCATCAGGTTACGGTGCCATCGAGCAACCGAACCCGTTGGACGAAGAGGATGATGCCGGACTACTTGACCCATCCAAGGATCTCGAGGATGACCGTCAATTCAAAAAGAACTTCGTGCTAAATGCCGAAACCAGACGATTCCTGACGGATCGTACAATGTGGCCATTTGCTATAGGTTTCTTTTTCATGATTGGTCCTGGAGAGGCTTTCCTCAACAATCTCGGAACAGTCATCAAGACACTCTATTCTCCGACGTTGCCTGCATCTGGCGTTCCAACATCTGCGGCTACACATGTCTTCATTGTGTGCTTGACAAGTACGTTCGTCCGCCTCATTGCAGGTGGGCTTACTGATTTACTTGCACCGAGCCCCAAGACTCAGCACGTTCAGATTCCCTCGTCTGCGCCAATACTGCAGAGGATGAGATTCTCAATATCACGTGTCAGCTTCCTTCTCTTCTTCGCTCTCCTCATGTCCCTTGGCATGGCCATCTTAGCGTCAGGGGCAATCCAGGAACACGGCGAGCGGTTCTGGATAGTGTCGGGACTGATCGGTGCCGGATACGGCGCCATCTTCAGCTTGACACCAATCATCATCACGGTCATCTGGGGAGTGGAAAACTTTGGCACGAACTGGGGCATCGTGGCGATGTTCCCAGCGCTTGGAGCAACCATGTGGGGTCTGATCTACTCCGCAATCTATCAGGCTGGGGCTGAGAAGTCCCCTGGCTTCCCCGGAGATGATGGTGGTGATGATGATGATGGCGACAGCTTCTGCTACGGCACCCAGTGCTACTCGCGCACATTCTGGGCCATGGCGGGCAGCATCTGGCTCGCCTGCTTCTTGGTGCTATGGGCCTGGAAGGGCCGAAAGGGCTGGACGCAGAGGGGCATTGTGGTGTAATTATACTTGTGTTCCTGTCTCATAGACGCCTTGCATATAATAGCATAGAGTTCGGTGACCCTTAGCGCGTGTCTCACTGCGCACAAACCACAGGATTTATGGATTCATCTTAGCTTTCTTCATTAGAGAAAAGCAAACATGCGACCTCGATCGGAGATCTCGGGCTTTCGTCTCGTACTATAGTCTGCTTGCCCCCTTCACTCTCTCGAGGCCGGCAACTCCGCTGAAACAAGCTGCGTCCGCTTGTATAGCACTGGCGATAGCCTCAGACTAGCAGACGGGAAGGGGTCTCCATTGCCTTCCCCACCGAAGAACCCACTTTGGTCACGATCGTATTTGGAAACCTCAGACACTTCGAATGAGATAGTAAGGGGTTAAGTGCTCACGCTCTTCAGCTTGGCTCAATTCTCTAGCCGCGACTAGGCGACTAGACCAGCTGAAAAAGGACATGTAGGCGGCCACCTCTTTCGGATGAGGCAATAAGCAATATAACACTATTATCCATCATCACGAGCAGGAGCTCCAGCAGCTCCAGCAGCTCCAGCACCACCAGCACCACCAGCTCCAGCAGCAGGCATCGGCCATTTTCCGCTTCGCGGCCTCGGTACTTGGGGTCCCGCCAAGCAAAGCAAAACGCTCCCTTGCGGAAACGTCCTGTCGATCAGCCACACCTCATTCCCGGGAAATCATGAACCAGTCTAATACTTCCGTCATGAAAGGGGGGGGGTCCTCCTTCCCCTCCAGCAGGCGGGCGGGCGGGCCTCCGAGGTGGCCCGTTTCTGCTTGATTGCCGGCCCGTGAGAATTCCGCCAATCGATCGCCTCAGCCCGGCATCCTTCTCCGCACTCGCAGTCCCCAGGCCCCCGGGACTTGCAACGGGTCTCCAGGAAAACGTCCCACGCACCTGGCACGATGTCACGTCAGGACGTCAAGCCTTGATAGAAACCGACGGGATAATTGAGAATATAGAGGCGGATGAACAGCGTCGGGACTGGAGAGGAGAGGAGTTCTCGTGATGCTGCTTCCTGGATTAACCATGTAGTGATACGTTCATGTCCAGATCTGGACGCTCCTCCGGCTGGTTGGCTCCATTCGCATAATTGAAGATTCGTAGGATTAGAGTACATCTGCTATATATGTGCCATCATGTCCTTTGTTATGACGCCTTCTGCTAAACCTCCATGACCTCTTGTGCCATCCAGAGTCTTTGTGAATACGCTTTGCCCAGAATGAAGCTCTCCGTCCTTGCTCCCGGCATCTTGGCCGGCCTTGCCGCCGCCTCTCCAGCTCCCACCAAGTCCCTCCAGGAGAGAGCCACGACCATGTGCGGACAATGGGACTCGCTCGCCACGGGAGGATACACTGTATACCAGGACCTCTGGGGCATGTCCGCCGCGACGTCCGGCTCGCAGTGCACGACCGTCACCGGCATGTCCGGGAGCAACCTGGTCTGGTCGACGAGCTGGACCTGGGCTGGCGGCTCGTCCAGCGTCAAGTCGTACGCCAATGCCGTCGTCAGTTTCACGCCCAAGCAGCTCTCTGCTATCTCCAAGATCCCAACCACATGGAAGTGGAGGTAAGAATCAACTTGAGCCCTGGAAGAGCGCACCCACGCACTAACACGGGGCAGCTACACCGGCACATCAGTCGTGGCCAACGTAGCATACGACCTCTTCACCGGGTCCTCCGCCAGCGGCACCTCACAGTACGAGATCATGATCTGGCTCAACGCGCTGGGCGGCGCGGGCCCCATCTCCTCCACGGGCAGCACGATCGCCACGCCAACGATCGGCGGCGTGAGTTGGAAGCTGTACAGCGGCAGCAACGGCGTGCAGACCGTCTTCAGCTTCGTCGCGTCGAGCGCGCAGTCCAACTTCAGCGGCGACCTGAAGAACTTCATCTCGTACCTGACCAGCAACCAGGGGCTGCCGACCAGCCAGTATCTGACGAGCATTGGAGCGGGCACCGAGACGTTCACGGGCTCGAACGCCGTGTTCAGCACAAGTGCCTACACGGCTTCTGTGAGCTAGACTGCTAGGGGCAAGTCCTGAGGTCAGGCATATGGTTGTCATATCGCCCTGGCGATCATGTCCGTTGCACTTCGTACATATTGTCCATGAATGTAGATATGAACATTGAATGTCAACTTAAATTGATACTTGTCACATCATCTCCAATATTTCGATGAGTGAACAGCGTGATCATTCAGAGCCACCTCAAGTTTTCCACTCCAGAAAAAGTGAGGCTCCCCAAGAGGGACAGTAATGCCACCGGCTGCATCTTTGGCACGCTTGTACGCAGCGCGCGTATCGAGCCGGTATTTCTTGAGCTCCGCGACAACATCTTTCATCTTTGTGAGATCTGACCTGAGTGGCCGTCCCCATCTAGGAGGGGCCAACATCGCATCCCAAGCTTTCTGGTAGATGTAGGACCCTGGAGGGACTCCTGCAGCGACATGATTCGGCGATGTAGGGATGATGTCGCTCTGGAGCTCCGGGTTGCATAGGTTCTTCATGTATTCGTTCACAGCTAGGTGGTTGTTGAACACCCCAGAACCGATCCACACAGGAATGGTGAAGTCCTGCCCATTCCATGACCCCGTGTGCTCGACATAGTCACCCTGAGTCTCCGAGAACGGGGGGCAGTCAAGTTCCTCAGGGTTCTCATCCGCGTTTGGGCCTTGACGTTTCGCGTCCGCTGATGAGAAGTCGTCACTTCTCGGAGAGTTTGATGTGGATAGAGACCTCCAACCAGTATCGCCAAAGAAGCTGAACTCCTCGTCAGCCATGGTGACGAAATCGCCAGCATCTAGATCTTCATCTTCCAAGCCACTGATATCGTCGATTGGGTCAGGGTCAAACTCCAATCTAATGTGTCTAAGACCCTTCACCATCGTTGGTGCCCTGCGAATATTCGAGCTTGTTGAATCGGCAATAGCTCTTTCTTGAACGGCAGCCAATCGCAGGAGGTTGATTAGCTTCTTGGTGACCCATCCCGTGGAGTAGCGTGGGATCCTAGTCAGAGTAAGGGAGTACAAGCGTGGATTCATGTCTGGCACAAAAGAGAGGGGATAGGCTAGATCGATTCGCTCCCTGAGAATGGTCTCGGCAAGCCACAACTTCGACATTTGGGAAATATTATCCGCATCCAACGTTGGGGTTTGTGTGACCAGGGAATGGTGTATAGATAAGACGCGGAGATTTGATGAAGCGACTGGTCGGAACAAGTGGGAAGCACCAACGATGCCTGAGAGCTTTGCGGATTTCCTCAACCAGCTTGGCAAAACCGCTTCATCCAGTGAAAAGGACATGACGCCGCAATCTAGTTGCTCCAATTGACCGGGAGAGTGGCGCAGTAGACGATGGATTCCATCCGAGCTGAGCCCATTCTCCGATAGGTAGAGATGGGTGATACCGCCATGGCCTTGAGAGACATCTAGGTGATGGAGCTCTGACATTTCTGGCGTAGGGTGATCTAAGTCGCCAGCCAAAGCGCGTTTGATTGTATCAGCAGAGTCTCGTCTAGGGGTGGAGCGACCATCAGCCCGCACCAAGGTGCCTTCCTGCACGGGTAAATCTGCTTCATTGGAGTAAACCGGAGTATCCGCAAGATACTTTTCATGATGACTGAAATTGCGGCTCCATATCGAATCTTCAATGAATGTGAAGGCCCCATAGGATTCGCTACCAGCTTGCACGGGAAATGTGATTTTCCCTTCCGAATAGAAATGGGTATCTGTATGCAATGAGGCCCCGGGAAAACTCTGCGTGATCAGATGGTCTACCACAACGTCTGTAAGGTTGTTTCGTGTAAGATCCAGACTCCATAGCCGCGTGCGGAAGGTCTGCAATAGCAAGGCTGCTGTCCAGTCATCGATTTCTCGCCCTTGCGCCTTCAATATGCGGAGATTCGGGAGATTCTGGGTGCTGAGAGACCCCTGCTCAAGTTGACTTCTGATAGAACCCGGCATGTCAGAGATGTCGAGATACACAAGACCCGTGAGCCACTCCTTGTCAAAATATTTGGTGGGGAGTTGCGTGCGGCACTGGGCCATGCTCATGAAAGCAAGCGGCCTGGTAGACATATCAGCCTCCTTGTCAGAAGCGATATGTCTTGACAGCAAGCTCGGGTCAAGCTCGGGATGTCCATCTAGAATGAGGCAGCGCAAATTGGGAAAGAGTTTCTCCAGGAAGCGGAAGCTCTCGGATATGTTCCTTTCCGTAGTATCTGAATAGAACTCGGAGGTCCCGACAGCGAAATGCCGGAAATCCAAAGTCGTAACCAGCTGAGCGGTCTCATTTCTCACATGTCTCATCCGCCGGAGCAAGGCAAAGTACCAGTCCAGATCTGATAGAAGCAGATCAGCATAGTACGAGGCGAGGGCAAAAATATAGGCTCCTTACCATCACCTTCATCGAGCCCCAACGCCCGCACGGTCTGTAACGGGTCCTTCCATAATCGAGGGGCGAAGCGGTTGTAGAAGCGCTTGCAGACGAGACAGAGGCTGCGATAATCCTTAATCGCGACGTAAGATGCAACAACATCGAGCCAGTCTTTCTGGCCCACAGCGTCCTCATATGAGGGCGGATGCGCCATCCTGCACTTGCAATTGCAGTAAACCGTAGATATGAAGCCCACCAAGAACAGCGATTACCACGACACTAGTCGCTGATAAGTCCAAGCCAGCCTTGATGCGAAAATACGCACAAGGCACCAAACGTGCAACGCTATGCAGTCAAGATGCCGGAGGTGGTAAAATCCGGAAATGAGCAAACAACATCAAAAAAGAGGGCAGACTGTCGTTTCAGGCGTAAAGCGCTGCATCGATATGAGGGTTTCGGCTCATCTCATCGATGTTCCGTCGGTATAGAAACAGTGGGCGGATGAGGCTCTATTGTGAGGGAGCTGAAGTGAGGTTGGCGACAGCATCATGTGCTACAAGGTACATGATGTGATGTGCTGTGCTGTGCTGTGCTGTGCTGTGATGTCAGCCAAACAGACCGGGCGACATTACATGGCAGTGCATTGCAGGTGCAGCGTGCAGCGCAGCGCAGTACGTACAGAGCAGTGCAGTGCAGTGCAGTACGTACAGAGCAGTGCAGTGCAGTGCAGTGCAGTGCCTTACCTCAACCGCTGTCAAGTGGTGATTGGGCTTGCTGCCACTGCGGGGTTGAGTCTTCCTGTTGCTGCTGGCTGCATGTACATGTAGGCTGTGGCACAGCATCTGGGTATGAGACCAGGCAAGATCAGGCACTCTAGAGGGGCTGAGGGGTTCATGCCACCACTAGAGTCTTTTTAGGGGTAGCCTGGATGGACTATGAAGCCCCCTCCCCCCCTTGGCAGTGGCCCTGTCCTTGCCCTTGCCCCTGTAGCCATAGCGCCGTTGAGCCTCCACCAAGCAGGGTTTGGCCTCGTTGCTTTTCTTGGGTCTTAATGGGGGAATGGAAGCAGGTATGGCTTTTTGCCCAGATTCCCATCCCTCTGACCGACCGCAAATCTAAGAACTGAATCAGTGGAGGGGGAGGCACTTGCTGGCCCACGACGCCCACAACGCCCACTTGGGTTCAGATGGGGTGACGGTGATGGAGAAGCAATGACACTCCGATGACGGACAGTGTTCTTCTCTGTGACTCTGGCAGGGCTTGTTTGAGGCGTCATCTCGGTGGGTGGTGAACTGAATCAGTTGGAATGGAAATGCCCTCATGTTGCGTGCGTGTGCGCAGCATGTACTGTATGTCGCCACGTCACGCCTTTTCAGCTTCTGACGTGGGTGCGCGCAATCCATGAGAACGCTCCAAGCCAGGTCGACCGGCGGTTGAGGAGCCACAAGCCCAGCCCTCAACAATCATGACGGCACTCCCGACAAGGACCAAGGGGATAGCGGTGCATCAATTGCCATGACTAATTGTCGGAGGTCGGGAAAGCCAGTACAACTCGACGGGGCCCCATAGAATTAGGAGCTATCGAGCGTCCTCCGAGACTTATCTCGAACCTTAGCCGTTTCCTGGATTGCTCCGTCAGATGGTTTGGCTCATGGCTGAAGTAGCTTCGGGGTAGTGGTCTCTTCTTGAGTTGAAGTGATCCACCAGAGAGTAGAGAGAGAAGAGAGAAAAAGAAAAGAAAAATATTTTCGCTCTCTGGCATGTACGGTGGCAACGAAGGGTGTGATGGAAGGTCTCATTCCTACGCAGGAACGCGAAACATGATGCCCGCCGCTAGCAACGCAGGCGAGGCAGGCTCTGTAGGATGGACAGAGAGAGAGAAGAGACACCCGATCGGATCATTGCCACTGTGGGCGGGCTCTGCAGTAGACGGACCAGCGAAAAGGAGACGCAGGGCCTGGTCTGCTGCAGGCAAGGCCCAAAGCGGAGTTGGGTCGTGAGCGAAAGTGGCATCGCTGGCACCGGTAGGTCACGGTAGTTTCATCCTTGAGGCAAGCCATGTCTCCCCCGACAGCGCGGCGCGGATTCCTAGTTTACTTATAAGCCATGGTGAGAATGGAGAGTGACGATCTTAAGAGACAGCGAGCCCGGTCCAGTGGTGTGTTGTACGCCCGTTTGCTTGCCGATCAGGGGCCTTGCGTCGACCTAGGAACTGGGATGAGCATCATTGACAGGATCGACGAGGTGGTGTGATGTCGGGCCGTTGTCCACAGATTGTGTCAGGCTTGGGGCAGAGTGATTAGGGGACGTAGGGGACCTCAGGGGACCTCTGGGGGACGTAGGGGACGAGATGTCAGGCAGATCCAGGGCGACGATCACTGCTCGTTACACGGGAAGGGTCATCCAGGGTCAAATGAAGGGTAGCACACTCTCGTCTCTGTTGGTGGTGGTGGTGGTGGACAACCTGGGAAGTCTGGGGAAGGCGGGAAACTCCCGTTGTCGGCTGCTGCTCTGGCTTGTCTGGGTGCTTCCCCGATCGAGAAAGAGATTTGCATCCATACCATGGACGGCATTGACACAATCAGACGCTCATGCTGCTACTATCTGCTACTATCTATCTACCGGAGCCATACTAGGCCCCCTTCGGCCCAGTGCTAGAGCCCGAGTCGGCTAGCCAGAGTCTGAGGTCGGACTATCGTAGCCGGCTTGATGCCTGGAGATCTCGATCTGTGCTCACCAGCATCTCCCCTAACCCGGCTCGTGTCTTTGGGCTCTATACAGCTCTCCCGCAGTCCCCTTCCCAGGGCCAGAGAGAGAAGGGCCAGAGAGAGAGAGGCCGCGAGGGCCGGAGCCGCACGCACAGACATAGATGCCCTCAGCGGATGCAGCCCTGGGAGACGGTACGGTTCGGAAGGAGACGGAGACGCCACAGTTGCGTTGCGCGGGGACATGATGCTCCTGGGATTCCCGTGTCCCTTTCCCATTTTGTGCTGAGCCGTTGCTCGTGCAACATCGAGACACGGCACTTCTCGCAACAAGCCACAAAAGCAGCAACGGCACAGCCATATTCATATTCATATCAGCCCGTGCTCCCCCTCAGACCGTCCCGAGGTTGCCGCAGAGTTGCCCCGGGGGCAACGCAGAGCCGGCCGAGAAGTGCATCCTGTCTCGAGCCTGTATGGTACAGTGGCGGGCTGCTGTTAAAGTGCTTGCAGCTTGCCTGCAGGGAAAGGCAACTCGGGCTCTTATCAAATTGGGTCTCTGCGTGTCTCAACCTCACATATGCCACATCGTCATGAAAGGAACGAATCAGTCTAGATGCATAATGCAAGCACTCCACACTCTGCTCTTCGAATACCTATCTGAGGCAAGACCCCAATCCGTAGCGTAGCTGAGCTTAGCTAAGGTGAGATGGTCTGGGATATGTATGGGGCACTCTGGAAAGTCGAGCTCGCGATGGAGTGCCAAGATGGCTACGTCTTATCCTCTCCAATGTGTGATGTACCTGCCTTAGCCCACTGCATCTGTTCGAGTCTGAGTCCATCCATCTACTGACCTGATACGCTGCGAGACTGCTAGATACCAATGTGTGTCGGCAAACGTCGATATCTCGAATGCATCTAGTCCCCTAGATCTGGCCATATAGTACCGTGACCACTCAGCGCGCATGCCCGCACACCCTCTTTTCTGCTAGATCTGGCTGCGCAAGCGTACACCACCTACTCTATTGCGGTATTAGAGTATAAACATGGGACGCCGGATTCCAGCCAAGACCCTGGTGTGCGCCTCCTGCTAGGTATTCCTTTTTGACTCGGGGCGCCAGAAAATGCCCGATGACGTTGTCGATCAGGCCAGTGTTAGTGCCGTCCGCCGCGAACTGCATAGCAAAGCAAGTATGGCATAGCATAGCAGCGCAGTTGTTGCTGTGGGAGGCTCGGAGGCTTGCAGGCATAGCACGGCCTGATCGGCGCTGCACATCATCCCACTTTTTTTTTTTGTTTTTTGACTTTCGCAGTGCCAGTTCCAGTTATGGCAGTGGCAGGGGTGGCTACGGCGACGCTGACTGGCCCGAGCCGGGAACCCCCCGCCACTACCCGGGCCCATAGCCGTGCCGCATCTTGCGTAACGCAGCAGCAGGGAAGCAGGCTGTTTGTTAGTTTGTTAGTGTGTTAGTACACCAGCCGGGAGTCGATCTACTGCGTAGTATACTCACACACTCACACACTCACACACTCTGATTCAGCAGCACCTACAATAGAGAGCCAGTCTACTCTGTCACATATCCCAGACCTAGATAGGTGGACGGCGTTGCGCCGGTGCTGGTGTCGCGCAGTAACCCAAAGTCTCGTGCTTGCCGATCGCTGTGCTGTCTCCCATGTCTGTCTGTCAGATTGTGTGATAGCCCAAGGTTCTAAGGATAGACCGTGGCGCCCAATGAGCAATTGCATCTTGTTCACACAGGCGCACAGACCGAGCGTTTCTCCCCGTTAACGCAGGCCGAGAGTCGACCGGGCAGGCGTTCACGCACGTTAGCAGGGTCAATCCATCCATCCATCCAACATGACGAGTCCTGATACCCAGTAGCCGTGATAATGCACTGTCGTAGTCGTGATAAGATAGGATAGTTGGCGCCGGGCAGAACCTACACTTGCTTAAGGCGAGGTCGGCTCGAGTTTCTAGCGACGCTAACTAGGTGCAGTAGACAACTAAACAACTCGGGTTCATCCATCATCCGCGCCCAGTCCGGTGTCCACAATTCCATCTAGATCCCGAAGACGAGAGAAAGAGAGCGAGCGATTGAGAGAATCCACTCTTTCTCCCAGTGGCCATTATTACGTTAAGCCCAGCCTCCTTCCCTCTTCGCTGGCGTAGTTAGGTAGTTCCCGAATAGCTCCCACGGCCGGGAGTCGGACAGCGCTTCACGAGACCTGCAAAAAATAGACAAGGGTTTTTTTTTGCCTCAAACGGCTTGTGGGCTACCACGCCGATGGCAGCATTCTCTGCATAAAAAGGGCAATGTTCTAGTAGTTTTCACCTGCTAGTGAACCGTCGAAATGACCTGACTCTCTCTTCGAAACAGTCCAGGGGGGTTCACTTACGTTTCTCCAGCTGCGAACCGGCGCCCGGCGGCCGGGCGAGTGTGGTGTGAATGCGTGGTGTGGGAGGGGACGGAGCAGCAGAGGCAAGCAGTTTTAGCCACTCCGTCTCACGTACGTCCACTCGTCCAGTACAGTCCAGTTCCAGTCCAGCCCTCCGCTAGGTACGTGGGAGTGGGAGTGGGAGAGCGAGAAGAAGAAGCAGAAGAAGAATACAGCCCACAAGAGAATAGCAGCGAAAAAGTTTGGACGGGCGCCGGGATCTGACTGGTTACCAAGCTGCCGTGGGGTATCTGAGACACTGCAGCCCACAGCCCGCCGTAATGTGAGATCTGACAGCATTGCGGCCCTCGTACCGTACGATCCCGGGAGGGGTCACTAATGCAGGACGTCAATCCTTTGTGGTTCTGTCGCTGTCGCTGTCGCTGTCGTCCTGGGCACCCGTAAAGTACGTGGTAGCGTCGTAGCCATGGTGCCTGGATCTCCGTCCTAACTTCCTTGGGGGTACAAGGCCGTGCAGATGCATGCCTGCATGCCTGCGTGGGCCCCCCGCCGACGTCCAGCCCGCTCTGGTATCTACGGGTGCATACGTGCGAGTAATGGCCCTGCAGGTGTACACTACTCTACTCCATTTACGGACCATGTACCATTATGCAGTAGGCATTCACAGGCTTACTTCATAGAGATAGAGAGTGAGATGGTGGGAGGAGCCCACGGACGCACCGCAAGAAGCAATGTCTCTCTCTCTGCTTCTCTCTCTCTCTCTCGCTCTCTCTATTTTGGCACGGCGCTGCACCAGCCTGTCTCAGTCCGCTTTGTGCAGCACACCGAAAAGAGCCTGCGCCAGTGCAAGACATGCAGTAGATTTTGTGGGGTTGAGAGAGGTCCGACTACCTCCGTGCAAGCTGAGAGGTCAGATCATGCCGTTCCTAAGGTATCCCCAGCTAAGTGCACTTCCGAGTCTCGAGAAAACTGCAGACCAGAGTAGACCCCTGTTGGCGAAATGGCGCACCAGAGTCTTCAATTGAGTACACTGGGGGGTATGCTGGTCTGGACCACCGGCGCTCTGGTTCGGGCCTCGTCATGTCGCAGTAGTTTGATGTAAGTTCGGAGGCAAGGACAGCGGTCGTAAGAGTTTCATGCAGGTATTCTTTCCAATTGATGTAACCCAACGATGACTATGCTAAGCTAATTCTACATGTTAACCAAAATCTACCTTACACAGAGACCAAGAGCAACCAAGCGCACAAAAAAGGGTTGCTTTGGGATAGGAACAAGAACACCACATGAGGGCCCCCCAATTGCCTCATAGACTGCCCCACAGACTGACTAAATAGAAAAATGACATGTCCTTTTGCTGCTGGTGTGTAAAATACAACGGGATATCGTCCACCGAATCCACCATGAAATGATATGCGATGATATGCAAGCCGCCATTTTCCGATGCTGGTTTCCCCGTCCGCGCCCTCCAACCTCGGGCAGACAGACTTTCCAAAAGAAATAATTAATGTACATAGAGTATGTTGCCGGTGTAGGTCTGAGAACCGTACGAATCTAGTGCACAGACTCCGGTATTTTGCTGTTGAGGGAAAAATAGACGTCACAAAGGACTATTATGAACCGGTATGAACGAGAGTGATGAAACAGAGGATGATGCGTGAGATAACTTCATGCGCGTTTAAATCGTTGGCGTTTTCCATGAAAAGCATGCAGGTCGTAATACAATGTCGTTCTTCGTTCATGCGTCATCCTCCTCGCCGTCCTCGATCTTAATGCTCGGGTTGGACTTGGCGATCTTGAGCTTGCACCGGCGTTGCTTCTCTGCCTCCTTTAGCTCGGCGGCGGCAGCTGGTGCGTAGTTTGTTCGTCCGCCCGTGCCCTTAGGCTTCACGTGCAGGCGGAGATGTGTCATGTAGTTGTCATGCCGAGAGAAAACCTTACGCTCTGGACGGCAGTATTGGCAAGTCCATCGTCGGTGGTTAGGGTCATGCCTAGTCGATTTAGCAAATCTATCCAGACAAGTTTTCCAAGTTGCTGAACTCACTCTCTCATGTGTCTCTTCAGATGCTCCCGTCTCTCAAATCCCTTAGTGCGTGTGCATCCAGGGAAATCACACTTGTGCTTGCCAGCCTTGGCAGTCTCGATAGTAATACCACTCTCGGACACGAGGTCTGCGGATGATTTCCTCTTCTTCAAAGCCCTCTTCTGAGACTCTGGTGATTGTTGAACTTGCTGCAGGACGGTCGAAGCACGCTGGGCCTTGTTCGTAAATAGCCTTCTCCTGGCACCGCCAAAGTCGGCATTGCTGTGAAGTGTTGGCATCGAATATCTGGGCGATGAGTTGAATGTGATGGGGCTGTCACTGTTGAACTGCCACATTGACATTTCACAGCCATTGCCACCGTTGAAAGACTGAGCAGGCGTTGGGATGGAGAAGGGAGATGAAGATGAGGCACATTCGTTGAAGCTGAAGCTCATGTCGTGAGTAGGGGTAAGAGCCTCCATATTGTGCTGAGATGCCAAAGTCATATGGCTATATCGACTGGGAGTGATAGGAACTCCATCACAGAAGTCAGGGCTCGAGGCGGGCTTGATGTCTGTGGGGAAGTATGCAGACACTGAAGAAGGAGGCGGCGTGAAGTCGTAGACCATGGTCTCAGGACCGAAAACAGTATCGAAATCCATGGAGTTGCGGTGTTGAGATGGTGTTGAGCGGCCAGAGGGAGGTGTAAAGGGGTCGTACATCGATGAAGCCGATGAAAAGCTGGAAGAGGCACTGCCGGGATATGACATGGTCTGGTTTCCGAAGCTGCTGAAGCTCTCATCTATCTCAATCTTCAAATCGATAGGGTTGTAGAGCTGGCCACCATAGGTGTTGGTCTCAGTCTTGAACTCCATTCCAACAGTTCTCATTATGATCTCAGAGCCTGTCCTTTAGGGTTGAATTGTTTGCCCTTGGTATGTTGCAGGACTGAGTAGTAAGAGTGATGTTTGGACTGGGTTGAAATGTTGAAGGGCGATGATATCAAGGGGAAGATGAGGAATGAATGGGAGAGGGATAGCGCGTAGATATACCAGTGGGAAAGGGAGTATATCGGACGCTGGAGATTTGCCTTAGACAGGATTTGCAAATAATTCCCCGGGTGGGAGAGATAGCGCCTTCAATATAAGGGCGTTGGGAGATGGAGGGTAGATTGGAATGTACACGCGACGCGAAGGGGTTCCGCCTCAATTCATGAGGGTGGCCCCCAAGGAGAGGCGGAAGACGCCTGGCCAAGTCTAACTACGAAGCAGCCCGTGAAGTTAGACTCGATCGCCCATCAGTGTCACCTCGAAGCCACCCCACTTACCAGTTGCCTGCATTAAGTTGTGTTTTAGGTTGTCATTTGCGGTGCTCCTGACTAGAGCCAGTTTCCAACCCCTTGATGAGGACGACTACTACGGAGCGGGGTAGACTTGTTCAATAGACGTAGATAGTAAAAGCAAGGCTTAGTATCCTGACTCAAACAAGGGGCTTCTGGTACCTGCACGCAACCTGCACTTGGAGGCTATGATAGTCGACCCAACTTCCCAGTACAGACGCCTCTTTGGGACTTGGGGCCAGCTGGGGCACCCAAGGGCAAAAGCAATCAAATGAGGTGCATGAACCGCTTGTCGGCACGAACAAGCCACCAGCAGATCGGCCGAGATGTCCGTCCTGCTCCTCGCAGTTGATGGGGCTTTACTACTGCCACTGCTGGAATGGCGATGGCATACTTTGGAATGGGATTGTCACTCGACAAGCAGCCGGCTCCCCCCTCCCCTCCCTCCGTCAGGTATCTTAGAGTGACGATTTGCCTTCCTATGGGCTCCTCTGGTTTCTTAGGTGCAGTAGGGTTTTGCACGGGCAGAAGAGGCCCGGTGAGACATGTGCCTGGTAGAGTAAGGTACTGGAGAATCATCTTACCACCCACAACGTAGGTACATGGAAATCACATCACATCACATCACAATCCGTCGTTCCCAGAGCAAGCTGTGCAGCGGCGGGGTCTGCGGTCAGACTTTCTTTCGTAAAGAAAGGGTCCATCATTACATCGCAGCGTGGTAATATTGCGTAGAGAGGGCCCTCTCGTCCACTGTGGTCCCCTCTGTTCCCCTCTGCTGCTGGCCCAGACCTGGCCAGGATGGTCTGAAAGAGTGTGGAGGAAGCAGGAAGAGTCCGAAAGAGACAACTGTGGCCCTGGCCAATGCCTAATCCAGCAGTCGACCGAGGGTGCAAGCTGCATTCGTGGCATGTGTGCCTGCAGGTCAATGACAAAGGTGACAGGAAAAATCCCGACTATCGGGCATGATACAGTAGACCTGGGTACTGCATAGTGGACTAAGTCGAGTAAGTGTAGGTAGGTAGAGGAGCGTGCGACGGCGCGGAGGGGCTACTGCGGGAGAGATGGAGTCTTGCCTAAGGTGGAGGGGGAAAAAAGCAAGCAAAGGAGAGGCACTGCATAGTAAGCAGCGACAGATGGGGCCATCGGACTGCATCAATGGCCTTGAAACGCCAAATTTGGATGTGCTGGTTCCCAGGCGAGCCAGGTTGGCCGCCCGGCAGGAGAGACAAGCTGAGATGAGGATCAGAGAGGGATGGCTAGCTGCATATTGCTCGTATGATATCATCGCTAGCATTGCCTAGATAGAATAGCAACAGGCACTTGCTGCTTGCTATTGTGTTCTGGAAGCGGAAGCTGCGACCTTAATCCTGCGCCTGCTGGACTTGGCCGAGATGAAAAGAAGGCGATGACGAAACCATTGAGCAAACAAAGCAAGACGATCGAACGGGGAAGGGACGTTGGTGGTCGTTGGTGGTTGCCGTTGTTGTTGTTTGTTTGTGTGTGGTTCGTTGGTTCCTTTTTTGGTCGATTGGTGGTCGACAAGGTTTTCCGCCAAGTGGCCAATCCGAGAAGCGGGCCAAATACTCCTCTGGGGACCCTGGGGCTCACTGAGCAAAGTGTGTGCAAAAGTGTGCCGGGTTTCCTGGTTCTCGGGGGCCGGCAGCTTGGCCCTTAGCGGGCGGTTTGCCGACACCTGATCTGCCCGCCCGCGATCTCCCACCATGGAGCAAATGTCTGGCTGTTGTCTGGGAAGGTCAGCGTTAGGTATGGGCTGTGGGTTGCGGGCGGTGATCTACGGCCTGTGCCAGCCCTGGCACAGGTGTCAACCGGGGATGCCTGGGAGCGGCACCAGGATCCCCTCACCTCGGAGTAATAACACCATGGATTATGCCGTATCGTATCGCAACTACCGCAAGCGTCCCTCTGATAACCAGACAACCTAGCCTGGAACCTCCTTAGGTTGCCCTTTGAGCGACGATAAGCGAAAGACGCCAGTTCGCACCATTTGCAGATCATCTTCGAGGTGGCCGATGCTTTCTTGCTTGCGATGGGAGTCTTTTGGGGTAAGCCTCCTGTTTTCTCTTTCGGGCAGTCCATGGGCAATTCAAGGTTCTAAGCTTATGGGAAAGCTTAATCCGACCAATCTCCGCCGTCCATGGACCATGGAACCATCCATCCATCCATCTCGCTATTCTGGCCATACCTCAAGCAAATGGCAAACGGTGGTGTGCAGGTCGTTGGTGGCTTTCTGTCTCTTCCCCCTCCACACCACACCACAAGCAAGCATTTCACTTTTGGCTACCCTTTTCCACGACGACATTGGCCAACGGGCACATGCACATCTCTGCTTCCCCGAACCCTGTTTGTACCGTAGTTGTTTGCTAGGTCGGCATAGACGATCATGTCATAGGATCTAAGAATATCAAAATCATCCCAAAATAATCCTATTGTTCTTGTGTGAGGCACGGTCCGGGCATTGATCAGTTCTCCCACGGCACCTCCGACAATAGGATAATCTTCGGCAGTGCCTGCCAGTCATCAGTAGTCTTGTCCGGGTTTACCGGCACCCGGAGTCAGTAAGTCGCAGAACAATAGCAAATTAAGCAAAGACTTCGAAACGTGGAGGCGTTGCAACCAGAGACCCGAAACGTGACTGTGTCAATTGAGTCGTCTCCCGGGTGCGGAACACTTCGGCCTTATTCGGAGACCAACTATCTCAGCCTTCAACCAGCCGCTGACGAGGAGACTGAACCCCCTCGTTCCAACCCCTCGCTCCTGTGCCTTCACCGTGAGTGCGTTCAGCGGCGGCAAAGATGTGAGCCGTGGCGCAAGTCAACTGTCTCCGTCTGCGTGGAAAAGAGAGAGTGGCAGAGTGGCTTTCCGCCTATGGCTGGGGAGATTCAGTCGCCAAGAGGGATGCCTCTCGTGATGGTTACACCATCTGCCTCAGCCTTCTATCCAGAGGAGGCGACATTCTAGATATTTGGAAAAGACCCCTTTTACCATCCCCGTGTAGAGCCCGGCACTCCTTATCTCAGCCGCGTAGTGATCCAGCAGCGTTGTGCCGCGGAAGGTGTAGCGGCTTGCTCCAGGGAGATGTTGTAGCCAGGCCTGCCATGACACTGTGCCTGAGCCTCGAACAAAGGATGTGACAGTTGCCGGAACTCAACCTCTTGCCGGCATTGACTCTTTGTGCCGCCACAGTCAGTTTTGTCTGGGTTTCTGCCGAAGGTCGACGAGGCTCGAAAATTTGACTGATCACTTTGGCTACACGTACTGCGGCCTGCAAGACACCGGGCTCACAGCGGCCCAGACACCTATGGCGCGCCACCAGAGGCCGTACAGATCGCCGTTTTTGCGGACAGAACAGGACAACCGAATTGACATGGCCGTAATTGGCACGGGCAGAGTCAGTGCCTCTCCTCAATGCATTCTTATCAGTACGGAGATAGGCGTCCGTCTTGTCTCTGCATAATATTCTTTCATGAGAAGGGAGAGCCATGAGCTCAATTTAGCTTCAAGACACATCATCCGATAACTTCGCCAAGCGCGCAACCACCGCCCTTGAGTATTCTTCACGGCAGTGCCGGATCTCTCTGTTCTCCAAAAAATTAAAAATTAAAAAAATGCAGGTCTTGCGGGAGGCCTGCAGCTACGCTCGGCCTCTGTTCCATGTCTCTGTGGAGAGATCATCTGCATTTCTTTGCAGTCCGGGTTATCCCAGGCATAATTGCTTTTATTCAGCTTCCTAGGACATGGTTCTCTGTCAAATGCAAGCGCACGTACATACGCAAAGCTCTCTATCAGCTTGAAATAGGCTAGGATATGGTCAATGTCCACCAAGTGGTTGCACACTCAACATGATGGATTTGATCAAGTGTCAGAGGACCCTTGCGAGAAAGCTATCTCATGGACGGCATGTGGCAGAGAAAAGGCGTCCCATGAAGAATCTGGATATTTGCAGGCAGTTGGTGCAGTATCTTTGGCCTTAACCCCAGCATTTCCAGCGATAGAGACTTGTTATTGGCCAGAACTTGTCATTGGACTTCTGATTGATGCGTGCATGTGGTGTTATTTCTGCAGCTTCTTGTGACCTGCATTGGATTCTTCAGAACCAACATTGGTGGGTGAAGTCGGACTCTGCTTGGCCCAAGCCGCCGCTACCGCCAAGGATATATATTCGTTGACACAATAACATGTTAGTCAGTTGATGGGAACAGGGGTGCATTCAGGTTGCCTTTCTGTAATCCTATCTCCTCGTCAAGACTTGCTATGCCCGATGCTGACTGTGCAGACAGCTGCAGGAAGCACATTCCCTGAATGGGCCTATGTTACGTGGCTCGGCTTGGGATGGCCAGGAATCATCTGCCTGGCCTGAAAAGATGGGCAGCTCATCGGTAGCGGAATTTCGGATGTGGTACAGTTTTCCTATCCGATGGATCGGGTGTACATGCTCGACAAGACGTTGATTAGGCTCACCTCAACTAAAGCTTCAACACAAACAATGTTGAACAGGACGTCCAAAAGCTTCGCCGATTTCAAAGTTGGTATATAACAAGCCAGCTGAGGCTACTCAGTAGATGTTATAATGGCTTCATGCCCCATTCTGGAGGTTGGCTGTTCAGACACCTCTTGAAGTCCATGGCTGTGCCGTCTATCGTTGAAGCTCGGGCCTAGCATCTTGTCAAGTCGTCTCAAAGTCATGACAACGCCTTCGGCGTCTCGGCAATGCCTGCCCACCATCAAGAAACCTGAGAGAAGCTTGTATTGGCTCTTCGATTGAGGAGAGTGCTTGACAAGTAGTCATATATCCCTGTATGTTTTTCCGTATCTTTGTCCACGCTCTCGAGACTACCAACATGCAGGCTCTGGCAGGGAAGGCTTTCATGATGTTAAGCAGGTCCTCTGGGATCCTCCTTTATGCTTGGCCCGCCTGAGATACTTTTGATACGTCACCTGCGTTTGGTCTACTGGAGCTTGTCTTGCCCGCAGGTTTGCGTCGACTCGACCCGATTGAGAGCATCATGCAGGTGTTGTCCTTGCCACAGAGGTCCAGGATACTCGCACAGAATGAAGAATAACGGTGCAACGAGATCTCAACTCGATGGAGGTATAAATACTGGCCATTCTCAAGCCGGAAGCACCATGATAAGATTAAGCTCTGTCATCTGTGTCTCTTGCGCTGCCAAGCAAACTTTTGGGACCTGGCAAGATTGAATACGGCTTCCTCGACATTGGAAATGTGTAGTCTTATTCAATATGTTTACCCTTGTGCCTACAGATGCCATAAGGGTGACCTCGTTAGCAATAGGTATACCCAAACTTCATGCCAGAATAACAATATGATTGATCGTAACACACCAAACGCTGCCCCTATCATACTGATAATTGTTAATGAACCGTGCCCGAGACATAGAGTACTAAACCAACACAATGGCTGTAAGTGTCCTTCCAAATCTCCTCTCTATCATGGTACTAAAATGGCAAAGGATCTGCCTGTGTTGTAGGTACGATACTTAATGTCTTGGATGGCATGGATTTATGGACTTTCGAAGGTTATATCAAGTATATGTGCTTGTGAAAGATCTAGGGGGCGAACGATAATGGCTCAATGGATTCTGGAGGGTTTTGGTATTTTCAATCGTTTGGAGAGGTTGAGAAATATGTAGTACGAATTATTCATCAAATTGCTTTCACTAGATGTGATTTTCGACGATATGTGGGCGCAATTCGCAGGGTTCAGCAATGTTCTTGATGGGTCATGTTTAGATGTAGTCGAAATATCGTGTGACACTTGATTAAGAGCCGCAAAATCCTAAAGGCCTACGCGCCCCCAAGTTACACCTCTGTTCCTGCAACATCCTCTCATAAGGAACGAAGACTTTTGATGTCGTTGGCAAGCCAGTGGCCTTCTCAAACCATCCCATCGAGATAATTAAGCAGATCACTCTCCAGCGATTATTGAGCTATGAGTCATTTTCTCTTTGAAATATGTTGAGGTTACACAGCAGCAACATCTAAATAGTCCTACATTGTGCGGGGCTCGATGTAACCTATGTATGCTGATAGTCTTGATCTGGTGGCGGCAATAGCCCAACAGCCAAGGACAATGCACAAGAGGATCCGCAAGAAGACCACCAGACAATCCAGACATGCCTCATCGATCTATCAAGAAAAAGGTCTTCAGCATGGGTAGGCCTCTTCGCTAGCGATGATTCACACCGGCAGCCTGAGATACCAGGAGATCATGCATACTCCGACATCTAAGCATCACTTCCCCATTGCGACATTGATCCTGCATGATGAGCTGTCATGCAATGTTCTTGCGATGCGATGCGCGAATACGAGCAAGTAGCACCGCATCAAGTCGTTTATAGACCAATCTCCATTCTGTCGGGAACCAGTGATATCTCTGGTGCCATTTTTTTACCCTATCACAGCGACATCGTCGTCTGTTGGCATGATATCTTCTCCAGCATCCTGCAGGACTTCCTGCATCTCCTCCTCAGTCGCTTCCAGACCTGAGCTGCTCATGAGTTGGCTGTTCTTGTCTTCGGCTGTTGCATATGTCAGAATTAGCTTGCATGGAGTGTGGTGCCCCGAGGACGGAGACAAGGTTTCAACTCACTCTTTGCTTCAACAAGCAGATTCTCTTGGACCTCACAATCTGTCAGGACTGAATTCTCGCCGATCTCGCACCGCTTGCCCAGTATGCATCTAGTGAGCTTGCAACCCTTGCCAACGACGACACCATCCATCAACAGGCATTGTGACAGCTTGGCGCCTTCCCTGATCTGGCAGTTGGCGCCGATGACTGATTCTTTTATCGATGTCTTTTCTTCAACTGTCACATTGTCGGCAACAAGGCTGTCTTGTCGGGTGATAGTCGTGCGAGGTTTGACGCCCTCGGGATAGGCGACCTTTCGGGTATGAGCAAAAGGGGATGCCGGCTCGACTCCAGCTTCCTCAACCGACGGAAGCTTTGCCAACTGAAGCGATATAGATAAGAGAAGCTGCGCAGTGTCGGCCCGGCGTATTAGGGGTGCTGATGGTGTGGAGGGATGGATATATGCCAATATTTGTGGAATTGTCTCCTGATCTATGTTCTGTGCGGCATCGCCAGCCTCATGATTGTGACGAGTCACATCTGAATGCAGCTGAAAGCCTTTTGCAGAAGTATCCCGTCGCAGCTCCTCGGGGTCTGCATCCTCGGGTGAGATAGAATCATCCCCTTGAGCCGACGTGTCTTCGTCTTGCGTCTCTGAACCTTCCAGGACAGTTGTAATGCCCAGCTTCTTAGACAGACCGGTCTGCCAGCCAGCCTTTGCCCACCAGCCAATGACATCTTCACCGATACTTTCTAACCTCTCATTCTCTTGGACATAATCCATGATCCATCGAGGGAGGATGTACAGATGTGCGTCTCTGTGTGTGCTCAGCATCTTCAGCTTCGAATGTTTTCGTAATAGGCCATGCCGAATGGGAAAGCCTCTCTTCTCATCCATGAAGTCCTTCAACGAATCTTTAGGCATTGAATACACCAGTTTGGATATGTGTGGCAGCAGTGAGTCCTTTGGCGGCAGTGTTGGCATTGACGGCAATGGCGCGGTAGCGATGAAGTCTGTCTCTTCACCTTTGACAGGCGTGGCCGTCTTGGTTTGATACCAGACACCAAGTCCGCCGCTGTGAGAAATTTCTGAGGCATGAGAGTCACCAAGTAAATCTGACAAGCTGGCCGACTTGACCATCCATGCTTGCAGCAGTTTGTCACCACCCAGTTCGCACACCAGGTCACATGGAAGCACCACAAAGTCCTTCGTTACTGCTGATCGCACTTCCGGTAGTCGCAAGATTTCCGCAGTGGCCGTGTTCTGATCTAGCTCCTTCGGCGCTAGCAGAACAGGGCTGGGGAACGGCAGACTGGTGAGAAAGGGGTTGATGCTCAATGCAGATGCGATTGCCTTCTCAGCTGAGGGAGGGCAGATGAGTGTGATGTCTACATCGCATTAGTCAAGATCTTCAAATTCAGCTGAGTAACCCCGCCCCCATTCACAGATAGTCCAGGCCTAAACATCGAGTGAAAATCCTCACCTGTTATGCCAGTCCTGTAACAGAAGTCCAGCGGATACCATACCATTGGCCGATTGGCAATAGGAAGTAGAGCTTTGGGATTCTCATCAGGATTCGCAGCGAATGTCGGAAATCCCGAGCCTGGGCCACAGAGAATCAAGGCCTGAAGCCCGGGGGTCGCCGTCGAGACAGCGTGGGGCATCTTGGGTGATGCCGCACCTTTCAGCCGAGCAGGAGAGGATTGAGTGAGATAGATTGTCTATCAGACAGTGTATCAGGCCCGTTATGTGAATCTCTGTGGTAGGACCCGATATTATATGATGCCGAAATGATCCTCCAGTAGTTGCTCGTATAAAGACATTAACTCACATCTTGACTCACGCATTGTGAGACTCACAACGGCGCGGATCCCGAAAAAAATAGGTGGGGTGACCTTTCACGTGCACGGACAAGGTGAGCAAGGATGGGCCTCTTAGTCCCGTCAGGTGCTGTAGCTTCAGGTGCTGTTCTGCCCGGCCAACCAATAGCGCTGCGGTCAGACCGAGGTAGCTCAGCTGCAGCATCAACAATCGATACCAGCCACCACCTGAGGAGGCTCCGCAGACCTCCTCTTCAGACGGCCATCCCAGCCACGGATATCCAAGCGGCCCCGATGACTTGGTAGAAATACCTACTCAACTCAACATACATACCTGAAATACCCACGGCGCATCCCGTCTTCCCCACAACAACGCCGAAACATACCGCATTCCAGTGAACTGAACTGAACTGAACTAATCTGGATTGCACTGCATAGCACTGGCAGTATATGCGATGATCGCCCTCCCCGTCTAGATGTCATCGCCTTATGATCAACGCGGCTCTTCTCGCCGCCGTCACGGAGTGTGGAGCCATTGGGTTCCTCTAGTCGTGACCGTCACAGTAGCCACGGTTGGTGTCGCAGCATGGATATGGAGCCAGCGCAACAATGAGGAAGAGGAGGATGCCGCCGCCATCCCGCAGGACCTCGACTACGAGAACGCAGACTACGGCGACAACCCACCTTACGGCGCCAGCGGTGACTCGAGGCGCGCGCCTTCCTATGCCGATGGCGACTTGCGACCGGGTGAAGAAGGTTATGGCACAACACAGGGCGGCCCCCAGATGGCCGATGCGACAGGATCGACTTGGGGCTCACGTATGTCCGGCGCACTCCGGCGCACACCCAGCCCGCAACAATTCCTCGACAAGGCCGGCAAAACCGTAGCCGCCGGAGTCGCAGCGGCTGGCACGGCCGTTGGCAGTGCGCTCGCAGCCATAAGAGAGGAGGACAAGACGGCGTTTGCTGATCACGAGACATGGTCGGAGGAGGCCGAGGCGAAGAAAGAGCGCCCCTCGGAGTCGCAGTCGAGGGAACCAGGCAAGCGAAGAAGGACGGTAGCCATTGTGGTCTCTGCAGACTCTGCGCTTGAAGATATTGACGAGGATGGATATCATGAGCATGCTGTAAGTCAAAAGCCACATTTTGAGCCTGACCACCTTGAATCTTGTCTCTAATTATTATGCAGTCCATTCTATCGCACATTCCCAAGCACAACGACTTTACGAAGATCAAGCTGTTTATTCTCATCTACTCTCCTGGACTGAAGGAAGCAGCAGGAGACACAACAGGCAATCTTCCTCCGCCCTCTCTTAGCTCTTCTTTCTCTAACATTGGTCATGACCAAGCGCAAACCCCCGGTGACGAGAACAAGAGTCCTCTGTAAGTCCCTCTATCCTTATTCGACAACTTTCTGAGCGACTATGTCTCTAACATCCCTGGTAGATTGACTTCCTCGGCGAATCCGGCGTTTAACGCAGTATACTCTCAGGCGCTCGCTTTAGTCGAGAAGGAATCTATGGTTCTCCCGTTCACCTCAGCAAACGGGCATGCGCATATTCTTCGTCATTTACAGCCAGAGGTTGTCTATCTCCAAGAATCCTTGGCCGGGGATGGTGGAAGTGTCATCACTCAATTGCAAACCTGGTTAAGACATGATGTCATTCTTGTAGTCGGCGCAGAGAGTGGTGCAGGCGGGCTTGCGGACAGCGAGTCTGAGGCTGAGAAGCCTGAGAAGGAACAGAAGTGGTGGCAGAGGGAAGATCGGGTGGGAAGAGGAAGAGGCGTTGTAGTAGTTGATGGAATGAGGGTTCATGATGATTGGTCACGCAGAGTGCAAGGAATTGAGTAATTGCGCCGTCCAGTTCTTTTTTCTCTAGGACGCCACAGGGTGTCGTCTAGATTATATCACGTAGATACTAGGAAGAAGGAGTCGGGTATATGATTCAAATTAAATTTGTCCAAAGAGAAAAAGCCGTCGAGATACTTTGATTACAATTGAGACACCAGGAGTCCAAGTCTTAGTAAAGGCTATGGGGTGGTCACGTGATGAATCTCCATCTAGTATGAGGCTCCAATGCGGCCATCCGCCTAAACACCGGCTCCATTGTCCTCCATGTGGGTGACTTCTGACTTCGTCACCCAAAGGCCAACCCCACACGTATCGGAGTATTGCAGCAACCTCATCCCGTCCATCCATCCAGGTCTCACTGTACATCTTCCACATTCGCTTCTTTATTATTTTGGCCTCGGACCAGTTTCACTGCACACGGCGTCCTTGTTTCTGCCTCAGTTGTATCATTATTCCCGTCGGCTGCGACGACCGCAAGGGCCCGAAAATTCCCCAAAGCGGCGTCAGCGCTTAGGCCACCACGACCTCCCTCCGTTGCGTAAATCGACCTTCCCACATCGCGACCACCTCGAATCCATCAGACAATCCGACAAATGCTCCTATTCCGCCATTGTCGCGTCGCGCTTTGATATAGGAGGGCCGAGTTGGGCAGTTTCCGGTCATATTCCGTAGTACTGCGCGCCTCGGATAAACCGCGAAGATGGCGCCTGTCGCGACGGCGGTCCAACCGAACATCCCCTCAAAGATAAAACGACCCGTTCCTCCCGGCATCCAGACCAATGGAGTGAGCTCCTCGAGGTCATCGCCGTCGCCATCCCTCTCTTCAAAACGCCCTCCATCTGCGGCAAAACAGACACCGAACTCAGCGAATGCTAATGGTGCAAATGCGGCACCAAGACGCCCTTCCAATGTTCCTCGACGAGAAGTGTCTGGCCAGATGGCCGGCCGTGGATCCCGGAACAGTGCTGGGCTTCGTCTTGCAAATCTCAACGCAGAATCCGCAGTGTCTCCGTCTGTTGAGCAGCGCCCTTATAGTGAGCTGACTTTCCTAGCCAAGGCTCGATCTTCTGCTAACGACACATCAGTTGTCACCGACAAGTACATACTGAAGAAGTACTCTGGCAACCCACCATCTCTTGTCGTTCACATGCACCCAACTCACTTCAGATTCGATCAACAAGACGGCATGTTCCCATACAAGTCACCGATGAAGCTTTTCTTGGAGCACTTACGAAGTCGGACTATACCACATGATATGCTTGAATACTTCACGCAATGGGGGGTACCCTTTTACGAAGGATGCTTGATAATCCAAGTGCATGACCACAAGTCAGTCGCGCAATCGAAAGATGTTGCACGGCCGACTTCTTCCTCAAGCAATGTTCAACCGTTTTCCATTCACAATTACAATCCTTATCTTACGCCGTCACCATATGTACCTTACCCTAAGGACGGTATGGTATCTGCAGCTGACCAGGCAGACGCCGTTGATGCCGAATCTAAGGAGAAGACCGCAGATGAAAAGGACAAAGAGAACATGCCTGCACCTAGCTTACCAGGAGAGGGTCAAAGAAGCAAGGCACCGCCCAAGCCGAGAATAAGTACTGTTGTATTGCGACCCACCCCTCAGTGCCTGCAGATGGACCTCTATATCAAGACGTGTACTCCTAGAGGCTCGCAAGACGGCGCGAATGGCCTCATTCCACCTTCCACTCCGATGGCGCTTGTACCACCGACACCAACAACAGCTACTATGCAACCACCTGCTAATGCTAAAAAGCAAAAGCGAGACCACATGGAACTCGACAGCAGCAATATCTACGCTGCTGAATCACAGATTATCCTGGCAACAACCGCACCTCTAGATCTTGAGCCCACCAAGAACATCGAGGAGACCATTTTGAAGTTAGAGTCACTGGCACATCCTGAACACTCACAACAACCCCCTGAGCCAAAGACTCGGAAACGTACTGTCGCTGAGATGGCTGCAGATGAGGCTCTGGCTGCAGAAAATGAGAGATACATGCTCACCATGGATGAACGCTTGTCGTCGAATGCTGGAGGTGCACAAGGCGGAGCTAACGGCGCCGATGGCGATGGTCAAGCTGGTGCTGCTGCTTTCGAGCCTCGCTTCGAGCGGTTTAAGAAGATTGAGGACATCAAGCGAGAGCATGCAGAGAGGAAGGAACAAGAAAAGATCAAGCAAGCCGAAAACGAACGGAAGTTGGCTCTGCAAAAACAGCAGCAGGCACAACATGCTGCAGAGCAGGCCGCTCAGCTTGCGCAACAGACTCGTCAGGCCGAAGAGCGGGCACGCCGGGAACAAGCCCAGCAAGCACAACAAGAGCGTGCCCGTCACGAGCAACAAGCTCGACAGCAGGAGTCCCAAAGGCGACAATTGGCTGCGCAAGCTCAAGCACAGGCTCAACAACAAGCCCAAGCCCAGGCACAAGCGGCAGCACAACAGAACCAAGCTGCTATGGGACAGACACCGCATGCTCACCCTGGCCAACTACCCAATGGCATGCAAGCCACTCCAAACGGAATGTCCGCACAAGCCCAGGCTCGTTTCCATCAACAGGTCTCCCAACCAACCGTGTCATCCCCTATCGTGCGTCAGAACACCCCGCAAAATATGTCATCTCCTATGGTCGGTGGTGTGGCCATGCAACACTCAGGATCCAACATGGGAGGCAGTCCGCCAAGACCCTCTTCCGTCGTCCAGGGTCATGCAATGGGCGCCCCTATGGCTGTTAGCATGTCTGCTAGGGGTAGCCAACAGAGCCATCCTGCCGGTACACCAAGACTACCCGTCTCGACTCCTCAAATGCCTCAGGCAACGCCTATCAGCCGGCCTCAAATGGTGCAGACTCCACGGATGAGCCAAGCTAGTCCACCACCTAACATGATGGTTAATGCTCAACAAATGGGTCAGGCTATGCTGATGAACAATCCGGGTATGCAGCAGATACCGAACCAGATGATGGCTGCTCAGATCGCTGCTCAGCAGCAGCAACGCATCCAACAGCAACAGCAAATGGCAGCGGCAATGCAGCAACAGCAGAATGGCATGATGAACGGCATGCCGAATCAGATGACGCAGCAAATGCTTCAACAACGCTTGATGCAACAGCAGCAACAGCAAATGATGCGCAATAACATGGCGAACAATATGGCGAATAACAATCCTCAATCGCAAGCGCAGCTGGCTCAACGTTATGCACAGCAGCTGAATAATATGCAGCAAATGCAACAGATGCAAGCTGCGGGTCAAATGCAGAACCAGATGCAGCAGAGGATGGCGGCAGCTGGTCAAGGTTTTGTAAATGTTAATGGCACTCAAATGGCACCTCAACAAGCCGCGCAGATGATGGCTTTGCAACAGATGCAGCAGCAGCAGCAGCAACAACAACAACAAATGGCCCAGCAGCAGATGAATCCCCAGCTTGGAACGCAAATTCAGATGCAATCTAGGAAGTTGTACCAACAGAACTTGCCGGGTTTTATCCAACGCAATGGAGGCGTACCCGAGAACATACCTCCGGAGATGATGGAAAACTTTAAGAGAGAATGCATGAACACGGCTAAGAACATGGTCACGCAGATGCTTGCTCAGCGTCGAGCACAAGCGGTTATGATCCAGCAGCAACAGCAGGCAATGCAGGGCATGGGTGGCGGAATGATGCCTCAAGGCATGTAGGAAAGTGCCGAGAGACAGTCAAAGCCCAATCCACTCCAGCGTAAGGAGGCATCACCAGGAAGTCAGTCTTCCCAGGCGTCACATGTCAGCGAGTCATGTCCACCGACACCTCAAGACGTAGTTGCTACGTCTACACAAGAAGTTAAGCCGCCTCCATCAACGCAAGCATGGCAACCCGGCACCGCCCCTCCTAAAAGACCTGAGGAATTTCAACAGTTTCTTAACGAGCGACGTCAAAATAACTGGGCCACCGGTTCATTGCCAGCGGCTCGAATCAGGAAGCAGTCAGGCAGGTCGCCATCGAGGCCAGCGACGAGCCCGCAACGCGGTGTGTCATCCCACTATGCAGGTCCTTGGAATTCGCCGCGTGCTGGTGCTGGGCTTCCTGCTCGGCCTGCTTCTGCCTCCGCATATTCGCCAGCTCGCCGGCAGCCTCGTAATGGATATGCACAATCTCATCAATCAGGGCTTCATCTCCCAAGCCCGTCGGTGCGCCAGAGGTTGAACAACAAGGTCACACCAGGCGTCCGATCAGGAAAACACCAAGGGCAACTACCCACTCATCAGGGCCCGTACAATAACGCTGGACAGCCTGTGCGATCAGTTCCGCACGCAGGGCAATCGCCCGCCGACCAAGCGCCTTCCAACCGGCCAAGGAGCCAGGGCAGCATCCACGGACCCTCTCCATTGGCAAATGTACATGTTGCCCGTTATTAGGAGTTTTGGAAAAAAGGTTATGGATCGGTACACAAATCAGGCATGGATCCAGCAGAATTATGATTATTTTCTTAGGGAATCGTTTTTATATACCCCGGACGGATGGGATTAATGGTCGTCTTTCGCACAGGGAGGGCTCTCTTGGCCAGAGAATGCATCCTTTTGGCAGCGATCAAACGGCCTCATGTACCACTGTATATTCAAAGCAGGATTCAGTTGTAGCGAATGAATATTCCAGATCATATTGTATTGCTATCTGCAGGATGAAGCGACCTTGAACGCCAAGTTTTGAAGATTGCATCTTTACGTAAAGACTCATCTTATAGCCTGCCTGGATGCTTCAGATTGTAATGCCAAGTATGATGTTGGCAGCCGCGAGCTTGGCCTGAATCAAACCAGACATCGTATTTATATCTGGAAAACATGCCGCCTGAAAACTCTCTTCACTATCGTCTCCCATCCACAGCGCAAGATCTACGCAGTAGATGTTCGTAGTCAGCGTGATGGGCGTTAGCTTAACGTTAGATGTGGCTCGTGCGGGCGGGAGTTTAGCCCAGCCGGCACTGCCGATTATGACATACCTGACCTTACCAAGCAGGCCAATGACGGAATCCGACACCTACCTAGCCTGTAGAGCGAGCCACGCCAACTGCTTGCTGGCTGCTTGCTTGAACGAACCGGGGAGAGAGGTCAGGTAGACAGACGCACATCAAGCCATACCTCGCAACGCATCGATTTCAACATTCTGACGACGCCTTCAATCGAAGCTCCAGTCCATTAACTTTTTGAGACGTTCTTCTCTTCACTTGTCGCTGGGCAGATCGGGACTGGCGCGTTGCTCATTACCAGCTCCACGGTCCAAGCCGTGTTGAGGCCTTTTCCCTTGATTCATCCATCCTCGACCACTACTTGGCTATCACAGCTGCCATATCCTCCTTAACCACGCTCCCTTATCTACCCCGTCTCTATCGTCTATCACGATGCGCTGGTCACAATCAGATGCCGGCGTGCTCCTTACGCTACTCCTCGCAGCTCCACTCCCTGCCGCCGCGATGCTACGATGCGACCACGTCCAAGCCGGTGGAAAGAAGTTCGACTTCAGCAAGCTAGGCGGCCCGCATTCCGTCGTCACGAGCCAACACAAGCCTCCGATTTATCTGAATACAACGTACACAGTGGACCTCTGCAGGCCGCTCAAGAAGGCCAAGGATGCGCCGAAGCGCGAGACCTGTCCTAACGGCACGAGAGGTAAGTCTACCTTCCTAGATCTCTGGGATGCCGAATCGTCCGTCATGGAGAATAGTCGCTAATCTTGATTTCCTTTCATCTCTACAGTCTGCGCAATACAACGCGACATCGATCCCGAGAAGGAAGGCAAGGACGCCGAGACGGTCAGCGGCGTGATACCCATCGCCGGTGAGCTCGCAGACCTCGGCGGCAAGCCTCTCGACTACAAAGCCACGCGGCTCAAGACCTCCGACTCAACGGCCGACGCCAAGAAAATAGGGGTGCGGCTGCTGCTCCAGGGCGGAGCATACCCGCTCGAGGACAAGCCCAGCGAGAGGCGGGAGCAGCGCGCCATCATTGAGCTCTTATGCTCCGACAAGACCGGTCTGGAGGACGAATGGACGCCCGAGGACAAGTATGAGGTTGGGGACAGCTCGGCGCCGTGGCTTGGCCGTCGGGAGGATGAGAAGGAGGATGATCCGGAGACGCCGCATAGCGGAGAGCACCAGCTGCTCAAATCTAAGGATGCTCCCCTGATTTTCGAGAGCTACGGACCGCTGTCAGATGACAAGAACATCGATGTTCTACGGCTCACATGGCACACAAAGTATGCCTGTGAAGAGCAGGCTCAGGACGACGAGGAGCCGAATGAAGAGAGCAAACACTGGGGTTTCTTCACATGGCTTGTTATTCTGTAAGTTCTTCTTGGGAGCTGGCTCCAAGACTATTATGGGTGCTAACGTCTCTTGCTATACAGTGTCTTCCTTGCGACTGCTACATATCTTATCTTCGGATCTTGGCTCAACTACAACCGCTACGGCGCAAGAGGATGGGACTTGCTTCCTCACGGTGACACGATCCGGGATGTGCCGTACCTGCTCAAGGACTGGACACGCAGAGTGCTCAATACTGTGCAAGGCAGCGGCAGCAGAGGAGGTTATTCTGCTGTCTAAGGCATTGGCTTGTTCATAATTGTACTTCTCATAAAGTTGTCCATCAAATAGGACAAGCGGATCGGGTGAATAATCATAGGAACCTGGCGTTTAAGGCTTTGGTACAGGCGAGAAGCAGGCTGTATCATATGTAGAGCATTTCCGATTCTTTTTGCAAGTATTGCCAATTTTCTGTGTTGCCCGATGGACTATGAACTTGCTTTCATGAGTAGGTAGAGATACAAGGTCGTGGTGAATTCAAGCTACTGGTTGCAGTTGTCTCATGAGAATATCAACTCAAAAATGCTTTTGTTTACACACATGGGACTCTTCACTCGCACTTTGAAACTGAAAGTGACTGCTATCTTTCCCTGACTTGAATTGTTGAGCCGGCCTATCGGAATGGACGGTTTACATGTGGCTGGCTTAGGTACGGCACTGATCTCTGCTCGCAAGTTAAAAGATGCCGAGGTAAGTGGGATGCAACACACCCCAGAATCCTACCCAGGCATAACCGTCAATGGCAGTTCAACGACAGCTTATAGCGAGCTTACCCCGGACTTGAGGAGTTCACCATTGTCTCATTGCTCAATGATTTTCAAGCGAGCCTAAATCTCGAGCTCTCGAGTCTTCGCAGTCGCAACCATGACCGCCCTCTTCACCGTTCCCATCCCGGCATGTGATGACCACCCCGGCGGCACGGTCGTGTGCAGCGAGCTCGCGCCGGCGGTCTACCTGCTGACCTTCACCTCGCCGCCCGACAACCGGCTGACGACGGCCTTCTGCCAGGCGATGCTGACGGCGCTCGACATAGTCGAGTTCAGCTACCCGCCGGGCGTGCTGGTGACGACGTCCGGCATCACCAAGTTCTACTCCAACGGGCTCGACCTCGACCACGCCCAGGCCGTCGACGGCTTCTGGGCGCACAGCCTGTACCGGCTGTTCGCGCGCTTCCTCACCTATCCCATGCCCACGGTCGCCCTCATCAACGGCCACGCCTTCGCCGGCGGCCTGATGATGTCCATGCACCACGACTACCGCGTCATGAACCCCGCCAAGGGCTTCGTGTGCCTCAACGAGCTCGACTTCGGCGCCGCCCTCAAGGCCCCCATGAGCAGCATCTTCCGGCTCAAGCTGTCGGGCCACACCTACCGCTCGCTCGTCCTGGAGGCGAAGCGCTTCCCCGGGTCTGCGGCGCTGGAGGCCGGCATCGTGGACGTGCTGGGCGGCGCGGACGAGGCGCTCAGGCTGATCAAGGAGCGAGACCTCACGAAGAAGGGCAAGACGGGCGTGTACGGTCTCTTAAAGATGGAGATGTACCGCGAGAGTCTGGAGTATCTGTCTCCGGAAGGACATGACAAGTCAGAGGCGCGGGACAGGGGGCTGATGGAAGCCGAGGATGAAAGGATGGAGCGCGGAAGAAAAGCAGTGGAAGAGTGGAAAGTGTCAGGGAAAGCAAAGCTATAGAAGGTCCATCCTCTTGTATGTCTAAATGCCTCGTCATGCGGCATGTAACAGCAGCTGTTCGAAGACCGTCGAGTCTTCCAATGCTGCGGAGAAATCAGCCTCGAGGTTGATGTGATGATACTGAATCAGTGCCCAGAAGGCATTGTGCAGGTACCTAGATCACAGTGGCATCTGACGGACTCCTCAGAGACACCTTTTTGTATCTCTCTACGGCGTCCGGAAGTCAAGGACTCGAATTTTGAAACTAGGTAGTTAAATTGCAAAGGATAAATTGAAAAAAAAAAAGTGTGATTTTATCTACCATCTAAGACTGTCATTACGTTCATCACAACAGGCAATTGCTGGAGTTCGTAGGCTAGACCGTGACTACAGTATAATGGAGTGATCCCCAACCTTGTCTATCTATCACAGCAGGGCGTCATTGCTTCCTTTCCACGGGACCTCCAGCAAGTCGTCATAGCCCGATCTCTGGGGGTTCCCTCCCTCCACGGTCGTCCCAGGGAGCTCATAATCCGTTTCGTTGAATGACGCCAAACCTAATGCAAAGGGTATGTTAATGAAGTATGAAAACGTCTCCCTGCTCCTGATCCTGCTAACCGCCCAGTACGCCACTCCGAATGAGACCGAACGCAAACCTTAGAGTAAAGTACAGTAAAATGAAGAAAACAGAAGTAGATGCATGAGCAGGACAAGCCTGCCCATAGAATTCGCTCCAACAAGGCAGTTTTGGAAGGCGTCAGCCGAGCACTGCATCACGCACTAACAGACCCATCTTCATCTGAGACGTCGGCATCTGGGTCAAAAGGGTTGCGGTGCGGCGCTACCAACCCCATTTCCAGCCTTGTGTCATGCTGAATCTTCAGGAAGTATTTCCTAAGACTCTTGAGACCACGGAGAAACCCACGATCGGGTTCATTGGGATGTTGTGGAGGACATGGTTTGTCCTTAGCAAGCTCTCCGGCCATGAGGCTATTAGCGAAGTCGGCCATTTTGAAGTCGATCTCCCGTTTATTTTTGCGAGCTCGCCGTCCTTCCCTTACATCCTCAGTATCAGTAGCAAAATCAGTTGTTGAGTCCTCGACAGCAGTGTCATAATCCGTGCCCGATGTATCCCCGTCATAGAACATCAACAAACTAGCCGCATAGAAGCGATAGCCACGTAAGCGGCGGATGATCACCTCAAGCTGGCTCAGCTTCTGCAGAACAGTGGGGATATGCCGAAGGATGCTAGACTGATCAACACCATCATAAAGGAAGCGAGTGAGCGCATCTTGAAATTCCTGGCCAGCCTTCAGGTCACGCCCATAGTATTTGTCCTTAAAGACATAGCTCTCAGTTTTGGCATCCCAAACCTGGAGGCCACAAACCCGTACGCCAAGCTCCCGTGATGTAGTCTCGGCACATTTACGCTGCTGAGATTTTTGCTTTTTCGGGTTTGCATCAACACCATACTGGCGTGTTCCCATTTTCAAGTCCATGATGCAAGGACGCTTCATTCCTGCGGTGAGATCTTCTAGTAGAAGGAAATATTGAACCCGTGAATCATGCTGAGTTTGCGCTTCCTTGGGATTGACAGGGCGTAAAACTCTCTTGAACTCTGATGTCGGGCTCGTCGCTCCAGATGTGACTGTTGATGGGTACTGGGACATATAGACAGAAGGATCGGGTTCTGGCGCATCAGGCTGACCGCTGAATTGCGTGGAAGCAATAGTCTGGGAGGGTTCTTCTCGCGATCCTTGGAGGGGCACATCGTCATTCACCTCCTTATCACCAGCATAATCAGGCTCTTCCCAATATTGAAGGTCTCCCCGAGAGTCTGACACATTCTTCGGCTTCCTTCGAAGTGCGCTGCCAGAGTACCTTCGCTTTTTACGATGAGGCGGCAACTTTTCACCAAGAATTTCAGGTTCTGGTGCGCTGGTTCCCGTCACATCCTTCGGTTCCGCGTCATCCTCCTGGTCATATGGCTGTGCTCCTGCGCCAAGGTCGCTCTTACTGATCTGTATGACGCGAGTGGACTGCGGAAGCTTTTCTTCAGGAGATGCTGTCGGTTCATCCCTGATATGAGAACGTATAAGATGCGGGTCGGAATTAGCTGGTCGGAGGACTTGCTGCAGCGTCTTCCGCGGCATTGATCGCTGATATGCTTTTTTATGTCGCTGAACAGCAATAGGTTGCTTCAGAAAGGCGTCATTGAAGACCTCGTTACGGAGCTTTTTATTGACGGTTGTAGCGCCCCAGCTGTTGGCATGGCGCTCCTCAAGAGACGGCCGTGTTCCGTTGCGTCCAGGTGATTTGGATTCATTGTTCTCGTTCGCATGGCCTGCATTGACAGATTCTGAGATACTCCGCGACCTCCCTGGAAGGGACATTTGCTGCCCAGACGGCTGTAGCAGATGCCGCGGCAAGATATGCTGATTATCCACAAACGTAACCGTCGGAACCGGAATTTGACCAGACTGAAGAGACTGACTGACAACTCTTTGGTGAGTAACCTCGTCTCTTACACTTTCCTGCGATTTCTGCTCCGTCTCGGAGCCACGAGAAGTCTGTAAAGACGCTTGAGCTTCATTCGAACCATTTCGCTGCGCTTCTGAAGCGCCATCATCCCTCCTGATAGTCGACCTTCGGCGTGGCTGCTTATGAAATGTAACGTTCAATACGCCGATGTATCTGACCAAATATGTTAGCACAGATACATCTCAAAATTGCTGATCGCCCAAATGGCGTGTTGAGGAGAGGGGAAATCACATACCTAGGCAAGAAGGCCAAGAGGTCTCGATGATAATGCTCGATCCTTTCATAAAATTCGTTCTCCCGGTTATTCAGTTGTTTGCATACAGCTCGTTTTGAAAATCGCCAAAGCGTTGTATGTCCGCCAACCTGGTGCTTATACGGGATGAGCTCGATAGCCTCCAGTGGTTGCCGAGGAGCCAATTGGTGGTCATGAATGCTATGTTCCTCATAATATTGCGAAATTGGGTGGGAAGGTTTTGGAGGATATGTTTGGCCAAAATCATGGTCATCGATAATGGCAGAGTCGTCCGTTTTAGAGCGCGGGGTCTCGCCCCCAATTGTGTGGTGACCCTCCAGACGATGTATACTTGCCTCCCGAGCTGGTTCTTCAATAGTCTGGTCATCTACCTCGGGTTCATCTGCCTTGACCAGCCAAGGATGAAAGTCGTCTCCTCTTGAAAGGGTTCTAGGACCCGATGTGGATGATTGCCCGAGAACTTTGGTTTCTATGAGAGGCTCTGGCTCTTCTAAGCCTTGGTGTGGTAGAAAGACTGCCGATGATATCTTCTCTTCACCGGAATCATCGCCATCTTCGGCTGTTTCGCCGACTTCGGTGCTCTCGCCTGACCCTCTGCGAAGCTCCGGCTCTTGTAGCTGTCCGCCAGATGAAGCAGCTCCGGTAGTCCCCACCACCTCTAACTTTCGGCCGTCTTCAGCAACATGGTGATAGGGGAGGCCAAAACGTTTGTCTCGCTCCTTCCCGCCTTTCATATCGAAGTAGTCGGTGGGCGATTCAGTGATTGGGGCAGAGTCCGATATTTGCAATGGAAATGAGCGAACACGAGAGACACGTGCAGGAAAGGACGCATGCGCCTCTACAGTACGCTGAGAAGATCGGTCATCCTTAACAGTTTTGCTCGTCTGTATGCTTCCTGGCTCTTCCACTGTCGGTGACAGCCTGTCCCTTGGCGTGGAAGCGACACGGGTCTCTTTCCTGGAGGCCTTTTCTTTCTCTGGTAGTCCTTCTTTGAAAAATCGCAGACTGTGGCTAGCTTTCCGACTCCGTACATCCGGCCCAACACCCGCCAAAGCCTCTGTAATAGACTTCTCGACTTGACCGTCCTGAGGGTTATGTAGCTCGCTGGAACCAATCGACCATATCTTCTCTGGGCCCATAGATAGTCGATGTTCGATATTTCGAGGGCGCTGTGGCGTGCGAGGCTCGGTTGACACATTGGTATCAATCTTCGGACCGGTTTGACTCGCAGCTCGATCAGACGGAGCGGACAGTATGTTTGCGCTTCGCATGAAACTCTCCGTAGACGACCTCGTCCCGGGGAATGAGTCCTGTAGTCTCTTTTCTTGATCTGTTCTTTCAAGGGAGGTACCTCTACCTCTTGATTGATTGAGGAACTCCCGGTGCCCTCGAAGAATAGAATTGACCCCTCCAATCTTCAGAATATCGTAGGTAGGGGGGTAAATATCGTCAGCAGACGGAGGAAGCGTCGCGACCGGAGCAATAGCCGCCGACGAGGCCATCTTAGAGGATCGCGGGGAGCCTCGGGGCGTTAGGGAGTTCCCATCGCTCTGGTAAGATGCATCATCGGAGGCTTCTTGAGCTCTTGAATCAACTGCCTTGTTGAGGTCTAATATGGGTGGGAGGATAGAGGGGTCGTGCGGTTGACGTGCCAGATCAGCAGTCTTTTGGGAAACGCCCGATTGAGGTGGCTGTTCTGGCGGCGGCTGAATGCCACGAGCAGAAGCAAGCGCTTGTGTGAGTAGAGACGGGCCTGGGGACCTGGGGAGAGGTGTCCGGGACTTTTTATTCTGGGCTGCCAGCGGGTCGGTAGCAGTGGAAGCAGGGGAAGTACCGCGGCCCGTTATCTGGGCTGATGAGGCGGCCAATTGCTCTTCCTGTGATGCGAATATGGGGGCAGCGTCTGCTGGAGCCGCGGAGGGAGGGGCAGCAGGCGCAGCTTGTTCCTGTCGCGGATGCTCTTGTGCCTCCCCTAGCCCTGGGCCGGACTGGTGCTCATCGACAACGTGGGCATGGCTGGGCCGGGGAGCATCAGCAGCAGAAGCATGGGCATCACTCACCGGTGCAGGGGGTGCGGCATTTTCGGGGTCAGGGGACGGGCTGGACATGAGGAGGACATCTGGCGAGTGCTGGGAGAATGTGAGAGGAGTGATTCGTCCTGGAGGGCTGCGTGGGAGGGAGCAGGACTCTGGCGGTGTTGGGGGACGAGGGGCCCTGTCCTTGCGCC